TATATATATATAATAGTTGCATGCAGCAAAAACGATTACTGAACACGCTTTAGCAAACGAATTTTACTAGCCCAGCTAGAAATACTTGGGATTTCTGATGCGGGCAATAAACGTGGGTTTCTGTGTGCTGGTCAGTTGACATATATATGTCAATTTACTAACGTATATAGAGTAGATGAACGTCCATTGATCTTTCCTCTACGCAACATGCTCGAGCGTATCTAACTACGCGAACAAGCTCATACGCCAGTATTGAGCTTGATAATAACGACAGGTAGAGCGCACGAATTTATCTGTTCGAAGGCTAGGGCGACATAACATATATATGACGTAACGTATAGGTCTTCAGACGTTACCTAAACAAATGACTAAGCCAGTCTCATTTTTGGCCTAGATGTTAAGCAGATGAGGTAGCTTGTCGATTAACTTTGTTGAAGACTGTGTTTCCATCCGAAAAATGTTGACGGAAAAACCAAAAATACCATAGTTTGACTATAATTAATAATAATAAAGCTATTTGCAAAATCAGAAATGTCGACGTCAGGAAACAAATGCCATGCAGCGAGTTTTTACGGGACTGGACGTAAAAAAAGTAGAGTAACCACATGAAGGATAGGCACCCAATGCGAAATACGACTAAGAGACGGTTATTCAATTAAGACTTGGGCTAATTACCAACGATACTTCAGTGTCATAGTCATAGATATCAAAACCAGCCGAACTAGAACCGTGAGTAGCAGAAATCGTATTATTACAGGCTGGAAAAGGAGCCCGTGTGACGACACAATTTTTGAAATGCTTAATAGTAATTGGGACATAATTATTAGTCGATAGTATGTGGAACTTTGCCTCTGTGCAAGCCGGTAACTTCGAAAATTCTAGATAATGTTGTCAAAACAGAGGTTTCAAAAAAAACGTGCTAGATGCATAATATGTCCCAACGGACTAGGTATCCGTGTACGGGTTGCTGACAAGTCTCAGAAGCGATCTGGTAAATGTGGGTTTGGTAAACATGCCAAGTGGAACACCTAAACCTTTAGTAATAGATGAATTATAAGACTAAAAGCAAAGAACACGTGTTAGGAGAAATAGCAGTGCGTGCGATAATAAAAAGCCTAGTTGAGATATTGTAGTCAAACCGACTTTATTTACTTTGTGTTTTTTTACACTTATATAATATTCCACCAAAGTCCATAAGTTTTAGACATCAGTGTTTCTAACAAAGATTATAGTGTTGTTGTTGTTGTTTGCATACGGGAAGAAAGGACAGGAAAACCTGTTGACGCATGGCTCCCGTTACGTTACTTTTTTTAAAGAGTACAACATTAGGAAGTCTAGGTATTTTCATCTGTTTTACTGGATTACAATAAACGAAAAAATCTATTAAAGCTGATGCTACATACAGTATAGGAATTAGGTTGACAAGCAGACTAAACATTGCCCAAAAACCAAAAATTCGATCTAGAATTAAATTACTGTCGTACTTGCTTGGCGTATTTTCTGCTATATACGTGCTCGATATGTAAGAAGAAAAAATAAATCTCAAGTTACTTTGTGATGATTATTTTAATGACAGTCTGTTGAATAAGAACGCTATCTATGTCTAATTGAAGTTATTATCCTATTATTTTAAAAAGAATGGGATAATAACAATTTGTGGGAAAGAAGCTTCAGAATAACATTGATTTAATCGGGGGTTCTCTACTAGCTTATACAAACGTTCAACAAAAATATTCATTAGGGATATTTCGTCATATTACTGAAACACGTATAGCGGTAATGATACTAGAATGGGTCTGACTAGCGGCAGATTTCGAGCGACTGTTTCCAGTCGGTAGGACTGCCACAATAGACAGACATTCATTTATTATTCTATTTTCTCTATTAAACAATTGTCATTTTTTCATTGATGTTTTTGCATAGTTCGGAAGATGCACTCAGGTCTCGTGTGGATATTTTCTGTCTTTCATTACAATAGTTTGAGTTAGTGGACATCTTCAAGCCATGCAGGTAATAATACTCAAGTGAGGGCTTATTAGAGGTCACTAAGTACTGTCGATCTGTGTTGGAGTTGATGGATTTTTTTACTACGACGCTGAAGGGGTTCTGTTTCTTCCCTTAATAATTCAAGTCCATCTCAGAAGCCCGATTTAGGCTGCAACTGACGTTGGTGAACCCCTTGTAGAAGGACTTTCGTCTTGTCAAGTTGGCCTTTACACACAGAGACCCTGAAAATTGCACTGCGTAGTAATCGGACAGAGGGAGCAACTCTGTCCCTGTTGGTACACAGGTTGACCCCATGAATTACCAGATGAACCGTAATTACACGTGTAGAGATGAACGTAACTGCTGTTCTGTCGGTACATCGAGTAACCACAGCCCACGTACTCAGTATCCGCCCAAGCTGCCTGGGTAAAGTGTGCGAAGTCACTTCCAAAACGAAATGATCGGATAACATCCAATGGGGTTCTACGATTTTCCTCAAACCACGAGTCAATAGCTTGCCTCCAGCCGATGGCGGGATGGTTATCTCGAGACGACAACCATACAGTGAAGATGTTCTGACCTAAAATGACCGTGTGTAAGATTAGAGGCGTTATCCATATATTTACATTTAGGTGAATATAAATACACATCTGCGGAGTGAAGCAAATGGTCTTGATAGAGACGTAAAACTGATTAGACGCAGCGATGTACCGTAACTAGGAAGCTTTTCAATTAGGAAAAATAATAGATATACAGCTGAAAGGGGTGCATAATGCAACTCCTTTATATTTTTAACCTACATCCTGTCAAGTTAGCCTTTACGCACAGAAACCGCAAAAATTTCACTGCGTAGTAATCGGACAGAGGGAACAACTCTATCCCTGTTGGTACACAGGTTGACCCCATGAATTACCAGACGAGTCATAATTACACGTGTAGAGATGAACGTAACTGCCGTTCTGCCGGTACATCGAGTAACCACGGCCCACGTACCCAGTATCCGCCCAAGCTGCCTGGGTGAAGTGTGCGAAGTTATTTGCCTCTGGGTTTTTTGGACCACATTTGACCTGGTCTGTTGAAATGTTCACCAACGTAATAAGCCATTTCAGCACAAAGATACAGAGTTGCCAAATACGTTAAACAACGATAACTTCCGAGACCAGCGTTTTATAAATAAAGACCTTTAGGTACATTTATAGAAGAAGGTTACGATTTTGTTTTTCCCATTAGTCTCATCTGCCTTTCTAACATAAATAGATCGCATTGACGGTGCTGGGGTAGAGGAAAATCATGGCTGGGATGAGCGGACTAGACAAAAGCAAACTGTGATTGAGCGATCTAAATTAACAGCAGAAGTGTCCCTTTCTTGAATATCATTACATTCCTTCGCCTTCTTGTTTTACAATGTTCCTCCAGATCCCCTGGCTCGAACCGTTTCCTGAGCCGTTGATCTGAAGGGCGAAGCAAGTCTCCTACCACCCGACCCGTCAGCCAACCAGAATCCAGCGGTGCTAAATTCACAACCGCCGCTACACTCGACAGCCCTGGTACATAAAGATGTTCGCCAGACAGACTGAGGGAGGGGCTTGCTCGTACGCGAGCATCCTGAATGACGTCGGTCGCCTGTCGTTAAACATGCTTCGACCCACGTAATGCCTTACAACGTGGAGAAAAGCATCAAAAGCTCTGGAGTACCAGACAAAGCCGTATTTCAGACCATTTGTTGGATATATTTAGCCGGGATGCTGCTTCTGTCATCGCTGCTATGCCCGGCAAGTCAGACGCAATGATCCTGGAATGCTTCACTGGTCCGTCAATCGTAGTTTCCCCTGTCGCCACCACCGACTTGGCAGTTCGAGGGCTCGTGGGCAGTTGCGAGCGTAGGCTCCTAATGAAACTAGAGATCGGCAATTTTCCTAAGTTCAGGGTGCACCGGCTGTGTCGGGTTTGGTTTGGCGGGTCCAATACTGCTACGCTAAAGTCTTTCGCCGTTTCGATACAACCATGGGGCAGTCATTTGATTCGACACGGTTTAGTTTGCGGCGAGGTAGTCAATAGTATTTGTCGCAGACGAACAAATATCTCGATAATGCTGGGCTTCTCCGACATGCAAGGGTCCGACTTCTCATAATTTCAGGTTGAGCAGGCTTGAAATGAGAAAATGATTACCCTCAGGAGAAGGTGTTCCCATTTAGCCTTATGACACAAGGTTGTTCATCTTTTTTGCTTAACAACGGCTCTAAATTCAGCTCGTTCGCAGGCAAGCTACCCATTGATAATAATGAAATGACTCTCCGACGGCGTACGCGAGAGCGAGGTCTAAAAGTGTGATGGACATATACTGTTTATGTAGAGTGTGTTAAATCTCGCCGACATGCGTTTTACCAAATAAGTAGCCAGTGGGAAGGCCAGAATAGATAAATAATAATAAAAAAAAAAAAGACAAATAAAAAAGAAAGTAGAAAGCAGTTGTTAATATAGCGCTAATATTGGCGCACGTGTCGGCAGGTATGTAACTAAATACTCATATGACGAAAACATCTAAGATACTGCTGTTTCTTATATCTCGCAGAAAGGCTTCTTGAGCCTGGCTGATCTAGGCGTACATACCTGCGATGTGTCTGCATCCACATGTACAGGTTTATCTATTGCATGTCGTAGTGCCATGAACCTACCTGAATTTACATTAGATGGCTTCGTATGAATAGACGTCAGAAGCTAGCAACCAAGATGCAAAAGTTATATATTAAAGTTATGGCGTTGGCGGCGACGACGGAAGGCACGAAGGAAAAGGACGGAGGAAATTCTCTGTACGCGATTGCGTGGTACTCGGTACCACGGGCTGACAACCAATATTGGAGACTACTTTTTATAGTGCCATCACTTGAATTGACGAATCAAATTGCCGTCATGACTCATTGTGAGCATGCCTAGGATAGATGCGTTCAGTAGGATGAAGAAACATGAGCATCCGTGAGCGCCTCCTTAGAACGAGATTATAGCCCTACTTTGATAAAGCATCAGCAAGCTTAATTTACAAGTGAGAAAAATCCGAACCTATAATATGTAAAGACTTAGACAGCTCACACAGTCTCGATACTGCAAGTTTATCGAATACAGATAAAAGAAGAACATTGAAAACGCGTTCATTGACGACAGCATAACTACATAATAAAAGCACGTAAAAATAATACTGGTGGTCATTTGTTAGATAGCATTTATGCTGCATTTTTTACCTACCAACAGATTTGAAGCGATCAATCTGACGGCAATCCCGGCAGTCATGTTCGAAACGGCATAAGTTGGCATGAGCTTGAGCGATTTTCGCCAACTCAGCGTCCCAGCGAATGTATCTGAAAATCAAAGCTATCGTTATTTTTTTCTATAGCAAATTATTGTTGCAGTTAGCTATATGGTGTGTATTGTACAACTGGCCATGTCGGGCTGAGTTCGTCTGGTGCCGATCTGATTCTGTCAGAATGTCGAGTCTAAGTGCTCTGCATTGGCATGTTGATATAAAGTTTTCCTCATTTTATCGTTGGTAATTTAACCTTCTTGATAAAATAAGTAGAACTAGGCGGGCACATTTTCTATTGAACTGCTGTTTTAACTCGTAAAACGAACGCATTTACTAGAGTATACTTTTTTTTATTGTATATAGTAAAATTTAATGTTTCATAGTCAAACGAATCTTTGCACTAGCGTTTCTCGCTCTTACATATACGGCTGCTTGTTTAGAGGGCCATAGAAAAAATATTGACTGCTGTACATTTGTCTTGCCAAGTTTTCTGTTCCATAATGATGTAATTCAAATGACCTCCACGTACCTAAAAAATCAGCATTTACTGACCGTTTTGATAAAACCTGGATGTCCGGACGAGTGCTTTGTATTTTCGAGACTATTATGAACTTACCTCATATTTGCGGCAGTCGGAAGTCCGCGTATCTGTCCTGTGGCTACGCGCCCTCGCCATTCGTTGTGAATGTCAATGATCTTTTGCTGATCATAGCTGTTTACCTTTGAGCGTTCTTGTTGACAATAGCTCCTGACACACATTGTGTGATCGGGTGAGAACTTCGCGTAGTAACAGGCCATAGCAATGTCGGGTTCACTCAACGCCACCCAAACTAGCAGTGCGTTGAGGCATGCACCCAATCCTTCTTCTAGCCACATGGTCCGACTGAAGCTTCTGAGCACTAATATCACTAGGATATGAGTTTGAGAACTACGATTTGATGGACAACTTAGAAGAAATACGGAAGTAGAAATAGTTACTAATAAAACGCACGGTCAACGCTGGTATCTCCGAGAACAGGCTTCGAGGTCTAAGCGAGCCTGATTTTACAAATACTAGGTCGTTTCAACCGTTCCGGTGTCATTATTAACGTCTACATATATGACCACTATTCGTCGTTGTCAAGCGAGCTCAAATCGATCACATGACTATCACCAACAAAAGCTAAAAGTTTTCTCAAACCATGTTACGGGACAATTCGTCACGTAGCCATTCCTATACAGACACAATTCAGAGTTAACAAATCAGACATGGACGCCACAGAACTAGGTATACCGAAATCAGACAAAGGTGATACGGTCAAAGTCGATGGTCGAGTAAAACGTTTGTTCTACATCGACCACGACTCGAAAGTCTAACCAAGCTGACAAGTGCAATTATCAGGACGTCCATACACACAAGGCCACACGAGGCTAGTCGATAGGCAAGTGACGTCTCTCAGTAGCCGGAGTCATCCACTGATTTGAATTATGTCCACGTTGCCGTGTATACGGAGGTTGTTAAGCTAAGTTTCGAGGTGTGCAGCGATTATTTGTTAGAAGCTGCCCGTAAAACGGGAACACCAGATTAACTAGGACCAATCCTTGCTTAATACAAAGATCCACACTAGAGTATAAGACTCGAAGGCCTGCCGCTTCCGTAACTTCGACCTAGCAACTATTACTTCGGATCCATATCTGGTCGCATTCTTTGCGCATTGATTGCTATTCTCCCGACGATAAAATAGAAAAACAAATACTAGGATGGCATTATTCCTAAGACGAACGATGCGGAGATTCTTGTGACTTGATAAAGACAAATAATACCCTAAGTACACGGGATACGGCGCCATAATTCATAAACTTGACGGCATGATTGAACGAATCTCACGACCTGCAGCTTGTTCAGCCAGCACAGTATACAGCATCCAGCAGGGATATTTGAATAGTATAAGCTCCCTTTGCGCAAACAGTCCTTGGCTTTTTTTTTTTCTAATCCTGTGGTGTTCCCGTAGCTTTTACCTCATCCTTTTCTCAAGACCTTTAGAAGGAGACGAAGATATTCAGGACAATATAGCATTTTGATTCTCGGCATCCGGAGCTTGTGCTGGTCGATGTGTCATTTCGATCCTCTGTAATGACCAGATTATTGATGCACCTGACAACGACAGTTTTTGTTATATATCTTAATTTGAGCAACATGAGTTACGTATGGCAATCACGCGTACACGGAGTGAAAATAAGGTTGAAAAGCTAACTTCGAACTAAGCTTTTCAGCCGATAGCAGGAAGGATTGAAACCATTACTCCGAAAGAGACATGGTTGGAAAATAGCTATGGCAGATGCTCTAGAAGCCCTAAAAGTGTAAAAAAGAAGAAACTTTTACTCAGATAGTTTTGCTATTCTGAACTATAGCTTAAGGGAAGATTGTCTAATTGACGATTGTTCTTGGCATTGTTACTACAACGATGTACGTCCCAGGCAGATAAAAAAAAATAGACCAGTTTCAATCCATCTGGTAGCAAAGAAAAATCTAACCACACGATTACTATTCAGCACAGACCAAACTTTTAGCCTCCAGCAGAATACTGTTTTATTTAACACGCTTAATCGAAATATTAGAATAGATTATTTTATTGAATAAAATTATCGTCTGACATTTATATTATCATATATCACTACCAAAAGTTGTGGATTGTTTTTTCCAACAAACTTACGAAACGGCATAGTGATAATATACCATAGTAACGATTTGTAACTTAGCTCAGCTATGGCCGCATCTTCCAGAGATACGTATCAACCAGTTAGACCATGCCGCTCTTCATATGAGTGTTAGAAACGTATTAAAGCCCCTCCAACTTCAAAGCTGCTAGCGATGAGTCGGACAATTTTGCCAACAAGTTTCAAGTCATAAAACTATAAACTGATGCTTATTTCATAGTTTGATTGGATTAAACTGTCTCTATCGCTGGACATTCTGATATAACTTTTACGATCGGTTAAATCCGCCGTGCGCTTTTGTTTAGATAACCAAACAGACATTTTCGCAGCAAACGTTAAAAATCGTTTAGATAAACGTCTCGAGAGATCAGAAACAGAACACTGAACTTAGTTTAACGGACGCCTTCAAATTGAGGGTCTCAACCACAAGTGTCCAGAAGGGCCATCGTCTCAAATTGAGACATGTGGCATCAACAGTTTTTTAAAGATACAGACCCGTGTTAACTTTACGTAAGCCATATTTAGACTAAAACTATACCAGCACAGAATGCATACATTACCTTGTTTCTATTTAGAAAATTTATCAAGTCACTTTGGGTAAGCTCAACGCTTGAGTTCGTTTTCCAACTTACTTTTCATAGCTCAAAGACTCGTTTCGAAGTATCGTGATACCGACTGGCGATTTTTCATACTATTAATTACGATCAAAGTAGTTTTGCGAGATCGACACAGAAATCGATCTCCAACAACAACAACAACAACAACAATAAAAAAAAAAAAACGAAAATTGTAACTTTATTTAAGTAATCCCAATTTGATGGTTCTTAAAGCGCTACGCGTGATATACCATCCCGATTATGTACTCTTTCCGCATTCTCAATTGTTCATTTACAAATGATCAATCTACAGTGGTTCTACTACCCTCAATTCCGTTCACTAGAAAATTGCTAATTCAATCAGATATGATTGTAAAAATTAGTATTACTATTACTTGTATTTGACAATATGGTCATTAGTATTTACCTCATTTCGTTGTTGCAGGTGTGGTAGCGTATGCTGTTAGCGCGGAAAACTATGGCCGTACACCATTAGGTCCGAGATCAACCAGCGAAGGCGTGAAATTGGGATCCCTGGCAGACTCCGAGGGCTCCCGTAGACGGGCCTCGAATTCGGCCGAGAATAGAATGGACACCTTCGAAGTCAAAAGTGCTTCTAATCACGTGCCCGTAAATACTCTTTTTTTTTTCTCCCTACAACCATTCGCTATCATATTGTATAAACACAGACGTTTACGATCAGAAAACTTTTCAAGTTACTTTAAATAACTGCTTCTCTTTTTCGCCTTCTTGACGTTTTATCGTCGTCCAAGCATCACATGACACCTGCAGTATTCTTTTAGGAACAGCTTCTCCATAGTCCGCCAAGTCTTCGTATTTGTAGGTAGTTGCCCGCCCTAACTTTTTTTTTGCGATATAGAAAAAATTCGCTGCTATCTGTTTTTCTCTCAGAGATAGAGAAACGCCGCTGCAGTACGCCCTTACCCTAAGCAGCAATTCTACAAAACGCCACTATGTCCGATGGGTTAGGCAGGTTGGGGGGTCAAACTGTTATGAATAGTAAAGCGGTCAGCTGGCAGAAAACAGCTAACTGCATGAATCTGTCCTGAGTTGCTATCTGCTTCGCAAAAGCTACGTAAAACGTCAACTCGCTCGCCTCGAATTTTTCCATGTGTCTGTGTGTGTCCTATCCTATACGACTGAGTCCAAATCCTGGCTATGTATACTGGGATGAAAACAAATGCGACACGTGACATAAGCCCAGTCGAGGCCAATAATTTGTGACGATTGCGCCTAGGAATCGCCGACAAACGCCCGTCTTGCCGTTGGAATTGCTAACGGGTGCACTTTAGCGATTTTGAGCCGCATTGCCCTTGACGAATTTGAAGGCATAGCGTTCCACTTTGTCGGTGCGCCTAAACGCACTTCTGGCTCCATTTTAGGTTAAATCGTTGATCACGTAAGCATAGAAGCTGCCCTTTCTTCGCTTGCGTTACTGTTTTCACGGATATAAAAATAGATATGACTGTTCTGCAGCTCGCCTGTCTAGTCCGTAGAGCCAAAATGTATTTACGGATGATATGGTGAGAAATATGGTATGAAGTGACGACAGCAGGCATTTTAGAGAATGTGGAAATGATCTGATATGCAATATATCTAAATTGGTCTGGTATAATAAATCATAACAGAACAACACACCGGAGTTTCCATTGTCCCTCATGAGCACAAATCTGGAGTGCACCGTCTCGCTCATCTATAACGACTCACGTGATTCCTTGTAGTTTCTGGAAAGCCCTTACTTTTTAAAATTACTTTCATATTAGTGTGTTTATCTTCAACGATACGGCAAATGCAATAATTAATGGGTTCCTTTAATAGCTTGAATAAACATTCTAACGGAGCTACGATCTTTTTGACAACTCGCGTTACCTTGTTAATTCCTTGTATAACAACTGTTTTGTATAGATGAAGCAACTACCGCCACGAACGCGGGAGCCGGATCACGAAAGGGAATCACAATTAAACGCGCTTAATCCTGGACCGGCTTTAAACATAGGCGATTCGCTAACCAAACCTTGGCAAGAGCCTCGACAGCGGACGACCTCTCACCAATCGGACAACAACCGCATCAGAGGAAAGGTTTATTTTGACAACGAGCAAACCGACGTGCCTCTCAGACATGGTATGATCAGTTACTTATGGCTTCATAGCATAACCTTGCTATTGGTACCATGCAAAACAGTTCCGTTGCTTTTTTTTCCTGTTCTAATAGGGAGCCTATCCGCATTCAAGTCATATCACGACTGTCTTTGATCTGAGGCCGTTTGGAACCTGTCGTGTGATACGTTCTCCGCTCTAGCCGTGTTTATCATTTCATGACTCTTTCAGGTGATGGTAGCCCCGAAGAGGTGTTTCACGACTCCAGACAAAAACACTTTCAGCAAGCTGATCCCTCGTTCACGCAGCGTGTAGGCTCTGATCCAGCACTTCCTGATCTCGGTTCGTCTGATCATGCTTCTCAAACGATTCAGGCGGCCGCTCCTCAGCATTCATCCTTTTTGAAAGACTCGCAGGTTCCGCATGTTCCACAAAGCTCACAGCACTGGTCTAGCAGCTCAGTTTTGCAACAGCAACACCAAACGCAACAGCAGATCCATTCTCAACAAGCGGTTCATCCTGTGGACTCTCACCGGTTGCCATACCAGGCGGCGTCTCCAGCCTCGCGAACTTTACCCATCATGCCACCGCTCATGCAATTACCCACCAATGCAGAAGTTCCGCAAACACAGCATCAGCAGCAGCAGCAGCGGCCCGTGCTATCGCCATCTAATGGCGCACGATTTGCTGCATCAGAAATGAAGCCGCCTGCTACTCATCATAACCAACAAGGATCCCCTCTAACCGTATCCTCGCAAATGATGGGAGCTCATGCAAAGCTTCACCAAAGTATACGGACCATTACCGCGCCCGTTGTCCAGATGCCCAAGACCTCGCATTCTAGCAGAACCCCACAGACTGTTGTAATAGATACATCACAACCAAGTACTGGGATGGCCGATGGGACATCGGGTGATGCCTTCGTTGAAGGGGCCATCCCAAGTGGAATGCGCGAACAGCAAATAACCGTTGTGGACAATGACACAAAGAAGGGATATGTCATTCATTTCCTCGTCAGAGATAATGACGAAAACTCAGGTATGTATATTGTTCAGCGTATTGTCAATTAACGTTCATAATTAACATGTTAACTTCATGGCATACATATAAATAGCAGTAAGTTATATATTAGTGGGTATGTATATTTATATATTATTTGCTTCCTACCAAATGATGCTGTATTTACCGTAATGGTACTTCCATAACAGAGCATTTGTGTGTAAATGCGAAGAGACGGTAACAACCCGATGTCGTTACATGTATTTTTCCCGTAAGGTGTAGAACTGATAACGGACACCTATAGCCAGGCTAGTTTTGCCTGTGAGAAGCGAAAGCTTGATGGCTTAACATTCAGTTGATAACGATAGTATACTGCATGCACAAGCGTGAAGTAACTGAAAAATGACATGAAACACCTTTATTGTGGAATTACTGTGACACATAATGAGTAATTGATATTATCAAAGCGAACTGGATCAATCCAAGGGCCTCCTGCTTGCCATTTTGCTGCATAGCAGGTCTACCCTTACAGCAAGAAATGTTCTGCCCGCGTGATACGAGCAAATACGGCAGATTTCGAAGTTGAACTATGCGCCGCTGGCACCCGAAATCTGGCTGGCAATCACCTAAAATCTAGCGAGTGGTCGAATGGGGTGTCAAATAATGGTCCTAGCTACAATCGCCCTCAGGGGTATTTGCTTTTATATTTGCCGAAAATTAAATCGAGTTACTCGGGAGGCTCACGAACCGTTGTCGTAGCAATGGGAAGCAGGCAGGCAGGCTGGTCATTTGATGACAATACCATCCTCATGCCTCAATTAATTTATCAGGTAAGCAAAGGAAGATCCAACGTTGGCTTCAACCCGCCTATTTTCCCGCCCTAAGCATTCTATGCGATTACAAGCCTTTTCCTGCTCTATCGATTTGTTTTGAGAAGCCATGGATAGAGGAATTACATATGGGAACGCTAATAGTAAATATGTAGTTGTCCGCAAGCGGCGAGAGCGCTAACACAAATGTACAAAAAAAAAAAGAGCACAGAACTAAGGTGAGATATTTCAAACAAAAGCATTATTCTATTTTACCCCTATTTAGTTGTATGATAAAAAGTCGGCGAACATTTTCAAACCACTGACAAACGATATGGTTACAAACATCCGTCTTTTGTGTCATTGCGTCTTGCGTCATAACTGGTCTCTTTGGCGCATGTCTCTGATATAACTTTCGCTGTTAGATTATGTTACCACGCGACATCTTCATGGACCTTTGTAACATTTAATAATCCTTATTCTTACGCAAGCACTATTTCTCAATCTGCTCTAGAGGACATTATACGAGATCCTTCGTTAAGTTTCGAAACAATAATTCAGTCTTCCCGCTTCGCAGTATATATCTTCTTCGATTAATTTCTTTCATGCAACGACAATGAGAATTTTCCGTTGAACCTGGGGTCAACATTAGCGATTGTATCGAGGGGAAAAGTTTACGTTGTGTAAACAGGTAAGACAAAAGAAGTACTTCGATAATTTCGAAATTGTTAGCACGAAATGTCAAGGATGGGCTTGCTGAAATCGGATTACGGCATGTTGTCCTACCTACGATTGCTACATGCCAGCCTTGCCAGCACGCTTGCACACGGCTTGTCAACCTCTTGAAAACGCTTGCCGATATTTTAATCGACCTGCAGATAAAGTGGAATAATGCCGTTACCACAGGCAATCTGAGAATACCTTGCCTTATTGCCGTGCTATAATATATTTGAAACAATTTTAATTAGATTTAATTGATCAAGGTTATATTTGATTGTATGCATGTGTGTAGACAAAATTTACGACGGCAAAACAACCCCAACGCCAGAAGAGTTCCAATGTGAGCAGCGCCATTTTCAGCTTTATCAGTAGTGGTTTCTGGTTGAAAATAGCGGTCTGGCGGGGGACTAGGTTTTTAAAGAAATGCGCGCATTGTACAATACCTGGTCCTAGACAGTATGCGCATGACGAAGACAGTTGATCAGCATTTGTTGGATGGGCTCACAAAGTTTCACAACTAACAATCTTGTATTGAATAATCAGATATTTGACCACAAAAAACAATCCTATGTACCAATAGAGTTTCAAATTGAGCAGCACATACGCCCGTTCATCTTACGATATAGAAATTTACTAAATTTCTACGTTACCATAGTAACCTATCCATTCTTCGAATACGTTACAACAGTGTTCAATGTTATCTTAAATGAATGCTCCTTCCGTTTTCAGCTTAGGCTGGTAAATATCGAGTATAGATATATAGCAACCTGTATTTGACCGTTAACGTATGCTGTCGCTATTGGAGAAAACCGGACGGTATGGCTATGTATATGTGATTACGCCGGTACTACTCAGGTCGTCGCCATCTAGGGCCTCATATTCAAGGAACCTTTTCGAAAATAACAGCCGTGGCAAACGACATTGTCCCGATGCACACAAACGGCCAGTCGACTTAATACGTGACAGCCGCGGACCGTCCTACCTCACAATCAGGCAGTCAATCAATCATGCGAATAGGAAGAAAGGCATGTACCACAGAAACCATCTTTGCTGTGCAGGCTCTATACTTCACAGACGTTCGAAGTTGCTGTGAGGGGAACCTCAGCAATCGATGCCCCATACAATACTTTTCTTCCATTTGGATAAGTTCCTATTTTTATAATTCAGTGCGGGCTTTTTGACCGCGAGCTACGATTTGACCGATGGTTTGCGCTAGACAAGCTGTGACATGAATCAAGAGAAAAAGAAACATCGAACTAGAGAATCGACTAAGGGATACTGTCTGCTGTATATTGGCGCAGCAAAATACCCACAATTAACGTGGGAGTGTCCAATGCCTGTTAAATGGGTATCGATAAAAATTATGATGACTTATAGTCGAAATTCGTGGATGTTGGGAAAAAATTAGGAACTAACTGCGTATGAACAAAATTACGATAAACACAACTTACCGGCAATGTTCTCTGCCCGAGTAACAGCGACTGTCGTCATATATTTTCAGACGGGACGGTAGGTGGTTTCGACCCAAATTCGCCAGCTTTCCACGACTATATCCGTCAGATCATTCGCCAACAACAAGAGCAGGAAGACCAAGGTATGTCAACGAGTTTTACCTCGTTCAGTGATTGGTTCGTCATTAACTACTATACTACATCGACAATAATTTGCTTCTTTTCTACGTAATTGAACCATCTCACGGATAAGAGTGTTGCATTTTAGAAATACATGAAGAGATCTTTTTTTTTTAGATTAATTTTTTAGATCCAAATGCACATAACGTATCCTCTTATACAGCATGACGTAATAAGGCTGTTACTACAAATTATAGTCCTACAAAATTTGGTGAACAGCCACGGCGCTAAATGGCTCTATTTATTTGGGTATAAATTCCAGACGTTGTACAAACCATGGAAATGTCTCCTACGGCCAGCAGTAATAGTAGTTCAACTATGGCTCCGACCGCGTTTGCCACTATGCCAACAGCAACGAGGGTGCCTAGGACTACTTTAGCGCCCTTCATTACGACAACGACAAAAACAGCTGTAACAACTGAGGTAAACTACTATAGATTTAACTTCCATTCTGACGACACGTTTTTTCTAAAGTAGAAAAAAGTTCTGTTCACGTGAAGGTCCACCGATAGTATCGCGCTAAGTGACGGTATGTTTGTTGACAAACGAATGGCAATAGTTAAAGAACGGTCTCTGATCGGTCTGAAGCTCAAAAGCGGCAGCAGGCCTTTATTTGCTTGCATCAATTTGGTCTACCTGTTTTCGCTCCAAGTGTACCAGGCCATGTCGGTATGAGTGGGCTACGTATCGTCTTGTAACCATTTTTCAGATCAGGAACAAACGAAGCGTTCTGACTTCCAGCAGGCGCTCCTTCTCATCGCTCTCAAAATGTTTACTGACTGACTTTTTCTTTGTATGCATGTGTAACGTTTATCTCGTTGTCACAGTGTAACTTTGTTCAGCATCGTTAACGCTCAAGCAGATTGGGGAAACGACAATTTCTTCATCGGTGATTTGTACGAACGCATGCAGCTTGTCCAGATGCTTTGGGGGACCAATCCTTTTTATTAAGATGCACAAATGCATTTATTGGCTCGATTTGTGTCTGGATCCGTCAATCGGTTTTCTTTGATCGGCGATTATTCTATCGGAGGCTATTAGCCTCGTTACCCCTTTATGCTGTCGTTGACAAATTATGTAGATGTATGTTCGTAAGAACGCTGCCCATGTGTGCAGATGAATGACATATGTATTTGTAGTATTGTTTACGTATATAGAGCATCGACATAACTCAGATGGCTGGTGTCACTTAATAATCGAAATAACTGGTTCACTCTCGGCGTGCAGCATAACAGCGTCGGCTATCTTCACAAGACGTAACGCAAGCGACACGTAATTGGCGAAGGGAACTCGCTCGTTAAGAAGTAACCTACTGAACTAGTAGGGAAAAGACCCATTTATTAGGAAATACAGGAGCACATTGACAACGTACTCATACTGATTTTTTATTGATTTGTAGAAATGTAGAGCACTTATATTTAATTAAACAAGTTCATCAAAGCTGTTGTTAACTTGCTACTCGTATCGCGGCCGAACGTAATTTGTTTTTTTTATGTACTGCATTGATTGATGACGGTTATATTTCACTTTGTCTATCCAGGCCCCGACGAGCATAGCAATGACGTCAAAGTCTACATTGACAAATAGTACGGTGACCACGAAGAAACCGATCGAAGTTTCAAGCACAAACCGAATGCAACGCCCTCTGGCCCCAAAGGTGCCTCAAATTCGCCCACGAGTACAGGCGCGATTCTCATTAAAGGTAAACGCACTCACAGAACGCGTGGATGAACGCATTCGATATTTTGGCATTAGCATTTTTTTGAAATAGTGTTTTTCAATAATAACCATAAAATAATGCATAATCTTTACAAGCAACCTATGCGCTTACCTTACCGTCTCTAGCGTTTTTTTTTTTTCGTAATTATCACATACGCGTTGCACGGTCGCACTTTATAGCGGAATTGAGAGACAGGATGTTAGTTCATGGTCGCCTTTAACCAGTGCCACTAATACGTTAATAGTAATCGGTTGAAACAGAACTAGTGACGAGTAAACAAAAGTCGTCTTAATAAAAGCGGAAACGTTTTTAGAAGTTGCGCAGCATTCTCGTTTTTTGCCTCCTGGCAGGCAACTACGAAAGGCCCTACCGAAAGCACCGAGTACGAGGACGACGAAGAGGACGATGAGGGGGAACAAGAGGCTGATCCATCATATACAGATGATGCGGTAAGCGTGGCCAGCGAAGATCAGGATTCTGGACGAAACAGCCAAGGACAAATGCGAGCTAATCAAAACGTCAGAGTAAATACTCCACGGCCTCAGAGACAACCTCCTTCATTTAAACACCACCGGCCATCAAAGGGTAGGTGTGGGAGATAGTTTTCTGTTAATAATTTTGTTTTCGCATGGACTATACACATATCTATACATTTTGCGCAGTTATATATAATCATTGAAGATATTGTATGCACAATAAAGTTAAAGAAAAACATTTAGTAAGTGTGAAGAATGTCGGCATCTTAATTTTTACTGATGCAGGCAGGTTAAGTACTGTTGCCATTGCCATCTAAAACTACACGTTGTTTTTAGCTATCATACTACGTGCACAGCATTATATATATATATATATATATATATATATATATATATATATATATATATATATATATATATAGAATGAGCAGTTCTATGAACATAAAGGTTACCGCCTTATATTACACAAGCAGTCGCGAACAAAATTATGCACTTTACTTCCGTAAACACGCGACGTGACCAAGCTGCTAGTAAGTGGCTACGTTTGGGCAGTTTTCGGGTCGGCCAGCTTCCGTACCAACCCAGCTGTTTAGCTGTCGACCTGTGCCGTTGATTTTTTTCTTCAAACGGTTTCTACCCTGATCTGCTGTTGTTGCACGTAATCAGACAGGGCGATTAATCCAAGCGTCTTTTTGATTCTCTTTGTGACACTATTTCTTATTGCTGACCCATTGTGATATAATACCTGTAGCGCTCAATGGTGGGCATTCATAACAGCGGCTCGATGCGGTCCGGAACTACGCAGGGTTCAATGTTGCGGAGTACTTTATCGCAAACTGTTATATAATTTATCCCACTAGATTTGAAGCAGCTGGCTTAAACCGCAGAACTAAGACGTTAAACGCGTATCTAGTAAAGGAAAAATGCTGTTTAGGAGGCAACTTGCATTTTTTTAAAAGGAAAATTGAGGAAGTGAATCTGGGTAGATGCTAATTTATTTTACTTTATAGAACCTACTTATGAACTGTGATGTAGTGTAGTTCCTAACTAGTTAAGTTAGTACAGACAGAATGTTCTGCAGTATAGTCCCGTGCCTAGTTCAAATTCTGTGTTTTACGGGTCTGTTTAACAAAAATGTTTTTCTAAAATGGGTGATTATTCATTGCCATTCCTGGGATGTACCGAAGCATTGTAGCAGCAGTGAATTTCAGAAACCCTATCTAGAAATATCGATAAGACATAATAAATATATGTTTTTTGGCTTTTTCTACAGTTCCCACGATGGCGGCTACATCTACCATGCCTAAAAACATTCTGAAAGACAAATACATGCCACCGCCGCTGCCGCCCCCAGCTTCAACGATGATCAAGCCGGCGCGACCGGTCTCTAATGAGGGTCACCAGTCAACTCAAGCTTCGCCCTTGAAAGTGATGACTTCTACACCGTCTACTGTAAAATCATCGACTGCTTCGACAGCGCGTCCACGCCCGACCAGACCAAAACCGATTTTCTACAGTGAGGCAAACCGCCGCGACACGACGAGTTCCTCACAAAACCCGTTTAAACCGCCTTCTCCCATCGACTACCCGCAAACAAATCGACCCCTAAAACCCCCGACACAAATGTACATAGTTGACTTTCTTGTACCGCCTCTACTACAGTAGTGTTATTTTTAACAGATCGAGCATATGCAGTGAAAAGAAAAGTAGACTATTAATCGTAATAGCTATTATAATTATTACGTCTTACAGCGCGCCTGATTCTTTACGTATATAGTCACTTTTAAAGTTCAGTATAAAGAAATTAAGTTTGGACGTTAAATTGTGTGTTATTTGAACGGCTATTTCCATTATTCTGAACTTAGATTCTCATCAACGAAACAGCGCGCAACATTTGCCAATGCACCGTTCCGGCCTCCAAGTCCTCCAAGAACAACTTTTCTTGGTCGGATCGGTAGCGTGCCAGGATTCGAACCACAGTTGATAGAGGCCGAGCCCCAGCTCAGCAAACTTGCGGGTGTGCACGTTCTTCCAGATGGTGGTCTTCTTCTGCCGGCGCCTCAGTTAACACCACAATACCCGTAAGTTCTATAATGAATAGGAAAATTCACAAAATACGACACTCACGGGTAGAAATGAGATTATATGTTTTGCCCATAAGCGTTTTGACGAGACTATGATGCGATTAATTTCGAAAAATACTGCGCCTATCATTTCAGTAAACGTTGACAATGTTGACCTACATCTGTGCCTCGAAATCTGACTAGCTTTTCTATGATCGTATTTGATCGAATGTCTTAATGGTAGTGTTATTTCTATTCATTAAAGAGCTCGCTTGCGTTTCACCCACAAGAGCGTTTACTAGTAACATGCACATACATGCCCGTATGTTTTTAAACATATTGTAAGCATATCATGTACATACACCCATAAGTATAGAGGATTTTGGCAAACTTAGCGAGTCAAGTGTTGCCCTCTATCATACGTTTTACTAAGAGGCTTGCTTTCCGTAATCGTATTGAAACATGTACTGTACGAGTTTGCCCGACCCCCTCCCGTAGCAAAATTTGGAAATCCCAGAAACTTGTCGGCATAATGAACCAGTAACTTTAAGGTAAGACTGCCAAAATATCTAGCCTTTCAGTTTCTCGGTGTTGGGGATTTCGAGCCGGTTTGATAACCCAAATGTCACATAATCAATGGTAAAGATTCAGGTGGTTTCTGCTCGTCTGCTTTTGCTGGTCTACGTTTTGTCCGTGATTTTTCGTCTCAAATTTGTTATCGCACTTTCGATTCATGTCGCAACTGGGATAGGAGTCATTTCATCATTTTTGCTTTTGACTATTCCTCAGTGCAACTTGTTTCTATACGGGTAATGTAGTTCAGTTACATCTTCTCCTGACTTGATACGCGTATATTCTTTCTGCTATATGGCAAGTCAACTGTCGGATAGCTCTATGATCAAGAAGGTTACTAAAAAACGAAAAAAAAAAAAAAAAAAATATTAATCAGAAGGGTTGTAAGCTGTGAGATAAACTGTATATTTCTGAATTTTCTATTGGCCGTTTACCTTAAACAAGGCTAGGCTGGGTCCACGATCGCCGTAGCGCTCTGTGTTTCTCACATAGGGTTTTGGCGACGATGGCTAGTAGCATTGACGTCATCTTCGGGCTGTGATTTGGTTTTCTGTCGTATAGCCAAGGACCAGTATCAATTTTGCATTTCTTATCTTCTGTTATTTATGTTATTATTATACATTCTGCTCTGCTTTTTGAAGCAAAATTCCGACCATCGAATTACAGTCCCCTAGCATACTGCGGTCTGTTGGGTAGCTTATGGTTAGAGTATGTGCGTGCACGCAACATCGGTCCATTCGCGTCTTGGCCATCGTTATAGTGCATTTTGGAATAATTATCATTAACTCTAATTTTTCCGTTTTGTTGAAAGTTTGTCTTCTTTCTTCTAAATTGGGTATAATTTTTCAACATGGTTTATGCGTATGTCTTTATTCCCTGCACGCGCTAATCATCGTATTTACGGCGGGCCTACTCTCTACGTTCCTTCTTTTCTGCTAACTTTCAGGCCGACCGTGGCCATTCCTCCGCCTCCTCCCGCGACCCAAGCCGACCCTAATGCCCAAACAAATCGACTCAAACGCACACGAAAGGTAAAGGGAGGCAAGAAATCGAAAAAGCCTAAAAAGGACCGTTTTGGCATCGAAATTGGAGGCAGTCATGGAGACGATGATGACGACAGCGGCAGCGGAATCACCTTGTCGCTTGGTAAGACACCCATTTGTGGTAATGGTGATCTTACTTAATATTACATTATTGAGAATTATTATTGTGGTTATTTTAGAAATATCCTATCTGAAAGGCCCTGCGCGCAGATAATTTAGAACCACCTATTTGAAGCAACACGGTGTTCTTGTCTAGTATTTTCAAGGTGACATACGTTGCGTGCCTCGTTCTCAGTGTATCTGTGTACGTATATACGGTATAACTTCGAATAAGAACCGCCATTCATTCGTCTACTTCACTCATTGCAAGTTTTTTTGTTGTCTTGTTTAATGTATCGATAACACTCTTTCTCACACAAAGGCCGTACATCTATATCTCTTCAATATTCGTAGGCGGCGGTGGGAACGATCGAAGACACGTCAGTCCCCTAAGTATTGCAAAGCACATCTTCCTACCTTTCCTGCCCAAGCCGAAAGTGAACCTGAACGGACGTGTAGTGTTCGGCGTCGTTCTTGAGAACGCGGCCAAGTTCGGCCACAAGAAGTTACGTTCGAATGAAGAGCCTCAGGCAGTGGCCGATATCAGCCTGAACGGTCACACTATACACGACCACACGCAATAGACTACAATTGCCTAACAACCTACAGCATCCCATGATGATATTCAAACCTTTACAGACCTTAACACTCAACCAACTTTCACCGTGGGAAATAGCACCGTGGGCACTATTCGGCACATACCTTATCAGAAACTACAGGACGAAACGGATTGGAACAGGGAGATCGGCCGTGTGCTGCCGTACCGTAAAGCTACCAACGTACGACACGGCTTCCAAAAGAGACCACCTTCACGTCAAGGTCAACTGTTTGTCGCTTGATCCAACTAATCGACCTCAATTCGATTCTCCCGCTGTCTCCCTCCCTCCCTCCCTCCCTCTCTCTCTCTCTCTCTCTAATATATATATACATAGAGATGTTTTTTAATCATGAACTGTTCCGGACGGACAGTGTCGTTAGGTATAAGTTAACTTGTCTACATCTGTCATTCTTTATACATGAATGGCACTTCTTGGGATATGATAGTCGTGAGCGTATTGTTATTTCTATAGGTGAATTTGAAACAATGCCATGATGTCGTTTTCTAAACGGTGAAAATGAGAAACTTGTAATAATAGTGGCAATGAACAACCTCACCATAGTGGTGCTCGTACGCGTGAGATCCGTCTGTATCTGGGTTTTGCGAAAACGGCCACAGGGCGGATAATTGAAGAAGACAGTGTTGAATACGGGTCGGTCTTTGCATGTATATGTGCTTTGGGTGATATATAGTAGTGACTATGTTTATTAGATATCTTATAGGTTTCATATATATATATGTATGTATGTTATTACTTGTTAAAATAATTAACCCCCCGGAGAGTTCTGTGGTTTGTTGTATACCTGGACATGTGCCAGTGTCACACACCTTCGTTATCAATTGCAATTGAAACACGTTACGTGACACAGGGACTCAAAATAGAGCCGCAGGGAGTTAGACCGTATTCCCCGCTGGTGTCCCGCCTTATTTTTGAAGTCGAATATGAATTTATCTCGATCGGAAGCGTTCATTGATGTACCATTAATACTCTTTCGCCAGCGGTTGAGAAGGCGTCCACTGCGAATGTACAGAAAAAAGAACCAGGTATTGAGAGAGAAGGGGTAGACATTTTGCCTTCTGGGCGACTTGAGTTCTTTTTAAGAAACGCTGTGGTACTATGTCTGCCAGATCGAATAGGGGTAGGGCAAAACATCGTGGGATAGGAAAGAGATGACGAGAGAGGAAAAGGAAAATGTTGAGAAGGTGAAGGTGGTAACCTGTAGAATAGGCTGCGATGGCGGAGATCTTCAAGCACCGAAAGGCAAATGAGGTCGAGTTCAAGGATTTTGTCCGCTGGGGACAATTTTTTTTAATGTCCGCGTCATCTGCTTTTTCATTGGCTTTCAGCCGTGCCGCAAACCACTAACGTCTCAGGCGCATACGCAGCTGTTCGCTCACGGGGCTTATTTATACCCGGCACCTGTTGGCGGCTGGGTAAAAAAGTTCGAAATTGTGTGTTATCATTACAGCAGGTAGGTGGTGCAGCATGAGCCAAGAGAAAGAAACCCATTAAATTTTTAACAATGGGGGAAACAATCCGCAGCACTCATTAGGGAAGGTACAATGATGTACAGCTGACACGAAGCAAAAACATGAGCAGTGCTCACCGGTTACTATTTTTTTTTGTTGTCAATTAACATTGTATGAGATGCGGTTCAATAAGGTGGGCTTGAGCTAATCTAGCGTAAAGAAAGATGTGGCCACCTATAACAAATGACTTGGGTCAACCTCATCAGCATAGGTATACTAATATCTGCTCGTGTTGATTGCGAGCAGAAACGCAATCGCATGGATTTTTTTTCTGCCTCATTTGTCACGGCAGAAGAAGGAACAGTTTTAGATTTACATTTCGCTGCAGATTTTCCTTATAATATTGTTGCGCAGCTACTACCCATATATAATAAAAATACAAACGACATTGAATATGAAGCTCCGCTGCTCCTGTATTGAAGTACGTATGTGCAGTAGTATTACAAAACCTTCTTGTAGGCAATATTTAGCTAAATTTCAGTTGGGCCCTTACAAACTTCACTCATAACCTATAGTCAATCACAGCAATCGAGAATTTCATGGAACTGTTCTATTTTTCGTCGTGTTGGATTCTACCCAGGACAGGACCTTGATTCGTTACCCTCTGCTTGACAGTTGAACAATTAGCGTATGCACATAATTTATATTCTTATTTACCACATGTGTAAATACGCCTGAAAGTAAATCACCTGGATTTGGTTGATGGTGTACAGCTTTTTATAATACAGTGTGAATACACATTGGACATAAATAGCTATTGATAGATATGAGCATATGTTACTCATACGATGTTATGTGAAGATCCTTCGTAATGCTAGCCTTTTGCCGGATCACGATCGTCCGCGAGCTAGAATACCGATGGACTAGCTTCATACTCGATGTACTGATGGGTTGGAGTAAGATCGAAATGGACCAAGGTTATAAACCAAAACGCCGGAGAACCTGAGAGGTGCGATGGCATTTATTTATAGGTAGGCCAAACCAAAAGCAGGGCGGATCAACATGAAATTGTGCTCCTAAGGAAAAGAAAGCAGTTTAGTAGTCATCGAGTGAAAAAACCACGTGTCCGGTGTTTACTGTATACATATTGACGAATCTCACAATGTGCCGACTATTGGAGAGGTCATCAGTAACTACTGCCAACATACAAATGCGACGTGTATCTAACGATGAACACATATTATACATTGTCAGTTTTCGCTGTTCAATCGAAAAGCTAACGCCCACGTTACCGGGCCTGATTGTCCAACGCCGCTTTCAGTAATACCTAATTACTAGCCCAATTAGTGCGTTTACGTAGTGAACATACCGTCGACCTGGAGCAATAAACAACAAATTTGTCCGAGATAGCCTGGTTCATTTCGGAATTGACAGGTCTTTACAATGAAAATAGGTTTAAAATAGGCTTCTTTTGTGTCATCGATAGACTGAACTTGTTTTAAGCGGGTAGTTGATAGATCCGTATCGTAAACTGAGTACGTATTGCAAAAACGTATTGCAGAGATCATCCCTAGGTGGCTCGAGAGCGTGGCATGATTACATTTATGCACCGCTTAAGATCAAACGAAAATAGGCATATTTATTGTTGGTCCTAGATATGCATTAAAAGATATTATAAAACTATATAAGATATATCGAACGTTACAGAGATTTATATATGTTGTATATGAATGTGTGTTGTTACTGAACGCGTTGATCGCGCCAGATAAGTAAAATTATATAGAAAACATATTTATGTCAAATAGAAAAAAATGCGTTCGATGAGCCGGTGCTCAAAAGGCAATAGTTATTAATTTGATGGAGGGGGAACTGTCGTTTTTGATATATCATGTGAACCCAACAACTGTTGAATAAACAGATTATGTAAAATTTCTTACAAAACGTCGATTATTGTCCTAATTACATATGACATAATCTATATGGAAACGATTCTTGATGAGGAGTGTTTTGCTTACGTGCACAGCAAGGCATCCAAGCTATATCTGATCTGCTTGCAACAGGCCGACTCCTGTCGGCGTATTTATCATCATACCGATAATTACAGCAAGTTGATAGAAAATTGCAACGCGACGCGATTTTTGAAGTACTTATCAGAAACATCTACGGAGTTCTTTAAAAGGTCACCCACTTTTCCCAACTTTTGCCGGCGAAACATTGCCATTAGTGCTAATAGCGACGAGCACTCACTGTGGAACGGACTCCAAGTGGTGTTCATTAATGATAATTGTTAAGAAACATCTGTGATGACGTCCTGCCCCTGATCGTGGCCACACATCCTGCGAACTCCGCTACAGACAAACAGAAATAACAAATCACAGTGGATGTTTGAACTACCGTTGATGCTTGTTTTCGACTGCCTGCGACTTTCTGGCTATCGCTATGACTGAGTTTTTTTTTTAAGTACGAAATTGTATTTGAAAATGAAAAGAATCCTCACACGATATCTGTAAAATACCTAGCAAGCTCGTTTCGAAAGTTTGCAGACAGGTACACACTAAGGAACCTCATTTTAAGATTTAGTCCTATTAACAACTCGGTTAATTTGAAGTTAGTATGTTAAAGGAGACAGAATACTTTCGGAGTTAGGCTCAAGGTACAGGTTTCGAAGGCCTAAGAATGTTGTAGTTTCAATAAATAAACGACAAATTGTCCGGCCAAGTCCACTTTTGATGTGGGGTAAAAAGTCTGGATTTTTCTTAAACTGAAAAACATTTAAACCCAATTTATTATATATACGTTACTACAATGAAGGAAATGAAAACATATAATAAATTATTTCAATCTAAGGGTTGGTTACTTCGAATACGAGTTAGCAAAACGTTATTATAAATTCATGTCGTTCAGTGATTCAGTTGACTAATTTATTTGTCAAATTATAATTATTATAGAAAAATGTTTGCAACAAACTTGAAAAAACTACATATATAATTGATACGCTATTATTTCAATTTTCATGCTTTTTCATAGAACGTTCCTGTTATAAATTTACAGAACGAATGGTTCTGTTATAAATCTCTATATAAAAAAAAAAGCGCGCAGAAGGCAACAGTGCGTTATTGAATAGCAAAGTCATGACAACTATTCTCATCTATTTTCAAAGAACTTAAACGGTAGCAAGAAAGTCGCAAATTTTTATACCTCATTCATTAGTAAGCGGTTAGAGAGAATGTCCCGAAAGAAACCGATGGTCTTCGGCGACTCAAATATATGGAATGACCTCAAACCGAAGACTGAACTGACTACCTCAATAAAAACAAGTAAGTTTAGGTAATAGTAATTTCTGTCCACATGACACAGCTTCGCTTAATTTTAAATTAGGTATACGTATTGAGTAAAATTCATTTTAGGCAAACGATTTAAGGTATAAATAAGAAACGAAATAAAGTATGAATCGAGTTCATAAATCACCTATAATGTCGGAAGAGGTTTAGCCTTGAAACAGCTTTCGTTCATTGCGAAAAAAAAAAAAACTGTAAAGTACTAAGGAAAGGTAAGATTTTTTTTTCAACACTTGTACGATGTAAGGCCTCCATTATCACAAGCAACAAATTGTACTACATCGGGCATATATTAATCATATATGCCCCCGGTAAAAGCCTGTCAAACAATAATGCAATGTATAACAAACAATATAGCCGTAAAGAGAAGCTTACAAATTTATGAGGTTTGCTTTTAAGATAGAATCTTGAATTCGTATGCAATTGTTCCATTGAGAACGCCAGTCTTCCAGAATTCGTCCTGTACATAGTACGCTAAAGGACTAGTAAAACCCCTTTGAACCGGGTATCTCAACGAATCTAGGCAGCTTCCAATAGTATCAAACTGTTCTATCCACTTTTGTGCCACTGTATTATCATTGTTCAGAAGGGATACCGAGATATTTCCTTTTATTGGCCATTCGATCGATGTATTAAGTTTAGCAGTACAGCCGAATCGTAGGCCGATAACAATGAAATTCTCGTCATGAACTAGGTAAACACTCGCCGCAATCGGTACTTGATCGACGAGTTTCTCCTGGAAAGGACTGCTTAAAATGTCCTGCGGAGAGCTTTTTTCGAAATTTACAAGTCGCTTCAAAATGGATTCAACGTTAAACAGAAAAACCGCGTTCTCAGGACTGTCGTCTTCGCCCAGTCGATCCTTTACGTTTACATACACCGCATTTGTCATTGTGTGATTGTTCGATTTGTAAGAATCGTTGACGTCGAGCTGCAACATAACGAATTTTCCCAGAAGAAGCCCCATTCCTGCAATGATCATCGCGAACGCCAACGCGCACGTAACTTGACCGCTTACGTAGACGATTTGCTCAAGACGTCCGTCTTTGGACAAAGCAGCTTTCGGGTACTTCGGTGAATCCCGTTGTTTTGTTCGGGATTCAGGCGGTTCCAATACATCAATAACAAGGTCGGAATTGCAAGGATCGCACGACGCCGCAACAGGACCCATCATGCGAACTTGAAATTGGTCCTGCGTTTAACCCTGTATCGTTTTAGTGCGCAGACAGAATATACCAGTCAGTTTCTGACCAAGCACAAGTTTCAACCACGAAATGAGTGGGCAGTCGATCGGGCCACCAAGGCCTGAAATGTAAGGAAACAATGCCATGGGTGAGTAATTTGGAAGATTAATGTAAGATTCTGTTTTACAACATAGACACAACAAAAGTATCGTTTGTCTGTATTGATACATTTGCAAACACAAAATGCAATTTTTTCGGCTGGATAACTTCACGAGGATATATTCACGATAAACATACGACGCTTCCGCTAAATGAAGACCGAAGGGTTTTAAACAAATCAAACGACAGAAAATAGAATATGCAAAAAATTGATTCACCGTACTATATCAACATTTTTTGCATTGTCTTGTATCAGCGAAGGTCGACTAGAATCGGCACAAATACGGGATGATCCACAGAATGTCTGCAATAATTACCAAACTCAATATGGACATCGGGCACGTTAACAGACCTTTCTATCGCTGTGTTGTATTGTTCCCAGCCACCGGCCCAATATGCACATCAAGAAGAAACAATGTTGATTAACACGGATATTTTCAGTGGCTCCGAACGATTAGTTTCAAACAGATTGCAGAACGCTTCAACCCACACATAACATATATATGTGTAATACAGGTAGGTAACTGATCGAAGTCTGTAGGGGCATAGCCGTCAGCCCATAGATACTTTCATAGCTGTGCTGGGGTCCGGCTTCCAGCGACAAGCGGAGTTTCTAATGAATCGGATGAAAATAACACTAGCGAATCGAGCGGCTGTCTAAAACCCGGGTTGCGATTGAGCGAGGGCAATAATTGTTGGCCTGAAGCAGAGCTTCGTTAGAGCGCGCAACCGATTCAACACGAGCCAATCACGACTCACCCTGAGCGCGTTTGGTAAAACCTGAACATAGAATAAGAAAAATCCCAGTACCTTTACGTTCTCAAACGTTGTTTTGCATTACATTAATGCGCTGAACATCGTTGGCACACTGTGTACTTACAGGTTATTTAGGTAAGGACCGCATACATCATACTTTGCTGGACCAGGCGACAATTGGTAACCTTAGCAATTGCTCATTAAACAAATGCAAACGCTTAAACACATCTTTTAGCTTTTCGACAGACAAGAAGCGCAGCGGACAAACTTTCTTGGCGAAAGCCATGCTTTTCAACTGGCGGTAATTGCAGTTGACAACGTGGATACAACAGCAGGCGTGAATGCGGGCGGTAGTAGCAAGCCACAAGCAGATAACTTATCAAGAAATAAGAGATCATATAGTAAGAACAGATTCGAAACTGAGGCAACAAAAACTCCCTGTCGTCGTTTCGAAGCTATTCTCTCCCTATGGCAACTATAAAAGAGTGCCTGACCATCGAAGAACTTACGACGCTGACAAAATGCATAGAGAACCGGTAGAACTTTAGAATCCACGAGAAGCCGTGGGTCTCAACAGCGAATAATACGAAGACCATGGAGCCTCATCTCCGAAATGATACATTTTGTTTATTGTTCTTTTTTGTGCTATAGTGCTAATAGTAGAGCAAATCGCAATATGCTGAAAGATCTTGAAGCCTGCGAAATTTTAAAATATAACCAAGGGTCTAGCCATACAGTTATTAGATTGATATTCATTAGCTGTCTCAAGTGATTTTTATGTTTAGTTCATCCAAATCTTTCGCCTGTTAATGTTATTAAAATTTTCCCAGTTGATTTACTTAGCTAACCATTCTGGGGAACAAGTACACATTATCATTAGCGAATTAACATAGCAGATCCTGTTTCATTATGTTTTGATTAAAGTATCAACAGTGTTGTTGCAGAGGAACTTTTTTTACTTTCAAGTTTTCACCATGCAAGTTCTAAATCTGCATGTGATTTATACCAGTCTTAAGCTATTCTTGCGTGAAAATCATAAACCGTCTAGTAGGATAGCTGATGCCTCGTTGTATACGATCGTCAAGACTAGAGATAGAGCTAAGCATATGATACGCGCAATAGCGATGAGCAATGCACCTACCTGGTGCGCAAAGAGCCGCAGGTGGCGATATCGTGCAGGTGCGATAGTGCACTGTTAACTTGAACTAAATGAGGCCGGAAGCTCCGACGCTCTAAATTGTCAATCAAAAGAGAATTCGTTTAGTGATACTGGTCCACCTCGATACTGATACTTTTACGACCAGTATCCTAAGTCGGATTACAGCTGGATTCGTAGGCGTCTGCCAACCGCTGAGAGCAGCGGTAGCCGGAAAGGAGACGGCAGAGTCGGCGTCGCCAGCGGACAGCGTTCAACCTTGATAACAACTTCTTTCCATGGCTTGGCCACCAGCATTTTCGTCTTTATAGGCATGTTGGCCTGTCTATAGGAACCCACTGTTAGCGACAGCACTAGATTTCTATAGAATGGTTCACCAAGAGATCACTACCTTAGCACTGTAATGGTCCAGCTTTGCCGTTTCATACAAGTTCAGTATGAAACTTAAGTAAGTACAGTCACAATAATGAAGATCCAGACACTTTTGCTTTTTTCAACAATAAAGCCGTTTTTGCCGCAACGAAACACAGCTGAGACAGAATCCGCTGATAGGAGACACCCTATTTAGTCTAAACTTGCTTGAGTCCGTTGACGATTTCGAGTTGTGCAAACAACTACGGTATCAACCAACATGGGGTGCTTCTAGGCCGCTCTTAGACAAGGTAGTGAACTCCAGTTGTATGGACCGGCTTATTGGCTGCACGTACTCCGCTCTGAAGGATCCCTCGAAGTCTTCTAAGCCTATGGTTTGCACTCTCATCTCCCTTATTTATGCGGATGATATCCTAGTTATTGCGAAAAGGTATTCTGTATTTTTCCTTTTTTTTTTTTGAATCCGAGAGTACTTTTGGAAATTAGAAATGCGATGTCGGTGCGATACGATCGAGTCCATCCACTGAAAGCGTTGCAAGATGTTACCGCCATTGAATGGTCATAATGGTCTGCATACTCCTAACCGCTTAAGCGACAATCCAGAATCTGTCTGTATTATCACATATTATTTCTGCAGAGATCTAACTGTTTCTGCTGTTACTATCTGTCATCGGAATGCCCGCTGCAATAAATTGGAATAGACTAACAGGACAACTATAGGAGAGTAGAAACATTTTTTAACAATAAAATGTGGATTTTACATAACTGATTCAACTTTAAAGGAGTGGCTTAAGATTTTACATCTAATAAACATTCTTACGCAGATATTGATTTTTGACTGTCTCTATTCGATATCCGGAATAAGTTAACGGAACCAAGCATATTAGGCTATTAAAAATATGTTCGAGCGGCCGAAATCAGAGGGCATGTCAGCCTCCGTTATTCCAGATTTACATCAACTTGGTTCTACCAAGTCCTGGGGTAGGCTCACATTTTCGAAAAAAAAATAAACATGTTAAGGGAGTCAACACTATTAGCTGCAAATCGACTTAGCCTCTAATTCAGACTAAGCTGAAAGATCAGACTAACTATATTGAACTATAGAAAAAGATCTTGCATCTTTTACGATTCTAGATGATAATTAAAGGTCAACCATTTCAGATGGAGGCTCAGGCTAAAAAGTGATCCCGATCCTCATAACCCAAAGGAAATCCAACACCAAGCTCGAATACATTAAGGTTGAAGGGCACAGGCTCAACTCGTTGTACGTACGAATGTCACAACCCGAAAGGTAAAACAATAGAAGCTTCAAAAGTTCAGGCACAAAAAAGCCGGGAAAAGGTACGAACTTGGCTCCAAATCCAGCGGCTTAAAACTATCAACTACAAGACAAACTTATCTAACATTCTACTTCAGCAGACATTTTGCAGTAGAAGGCACTAACTTAAGGCACATTTATGCTTAATTATACTTCGATTTTATTTCCAGCTGATTAGTAACTATGAAGAAAAAATTGTAGAATTTGATCTAAGTTTTCCATACCTAAAAGTAAGTGAAGAGTTCAGCTAGATAGATTATTATAAATCATTTCGTTCACGGCTTCCATCATGTATTATGTCAGACATTGATTTCTCACTAACGAGATATCTATCTGCCCATACTGTGATTTATGGAAGTACTAAGTAAAACAGCAATAAGTGGCTATCAGCTGTTTCATTGATAAGACTTATTAAATCTTCATATATCCTATACATATATGTTATTTATTATGATTTGTTTGTTAATTTTTTTTAGGACAATGACAAGTGCATATGAAGTGTGATAAACAAATAAGTAATTTGATTAAATCAAGTAAACATAATCTCCTCGTCTGTAAAGATTACATCTTCCAGCAGCCGCTACAATATACTCCCAAAGAAAGGACTGTCTTTAACAACAGGGACAAGGTCCCAACGGGAATCTTGCTAGATAATAATCAGAGGTGAAGACCGCTAGTGCAATGTTTATAACATATCGCTAGGGTTTTATTCGATCATTAGAATGGAATAAGCGACAACGTACCCGAATCATTTTCAATAGTAATCGTTCATGTTGTATCTCTAAGTATTTGGAGAAATATATATATATATATAGTCAAAGAGCTGTATTATTCAGACACATACGCAATAATCAGGTATAGTCTAACGTGATCGATGGCCGTGTTACGTTCATTAGACTGTTGAATCCAAGATATGGCAGCATGAAAAAATTACACAATGCAATATAATTCAAAACAAAAAAAACACAAGACCAATATACGTCGACGTAATTATATAGAACCGGCGTTAAATAAATTATCTATATTATAATATTAATAGTATCATTATCAATTTCTTATAAGAAATAGAAAATAAATATCTTTTCTAGATGTATAATAGCTGGAAATTTGATGTGTTCTTTTTTTTTCGGATTTTTTCAAGGCGCCACTGCGAATCGTCGTCATCCAAAACTCGTCCGTGCCATCTTTGTTTATATGGTAAGGCAAATGATGCTTATATATTTCTGTGCGATTACTATTCCATCTACGCAGCTGAAGACGTTACAGTTGGTTATGTCTTCAAGAGCTCGTGGCCATTTTATTAGGGCAGTGTTTTCATTTTTAGTGGAAAAGTGACGATGAATAACCATGTTAATGGTCAAACGTCAGAAGGCGAGAGAATCTTAGTTCGATTACCTTATCGTGATTGAAGTGATGATTCTAGTTCGTAACCGCAGTACAAAGCCTGTTCGATGAAAGGCGACGGCAGAACTCTAGAATAGAAATAGTGCCTTTAAAAGGCATTTTACTCAGGAAGCTATCTAGCCGGAACGGCAGGCGTCAAAAACATACGTTACTAACAATAGCACTATAATGACACTTAGCCATTTTCGGATATCAACGTGTCCGATTGTGGAAACAAGTCTTTCAAGAGTAGCAAAGAAACCGTACAGCTCACGATAGGACACGCCGTAACAGGGCTAACCTGCAAAAGTTACCATTCACTTTGATGAACACAAAATTAAACTTGCCTTTGACCTGAAGCAAAGCTCCTTCAACAGGCCTTGAACTAGAAGGGAAGCAAGAAACGAAGAGCACTAATGAGTTTGAAAAAAGCGAGGAAAGAAACGAAAGCAACTTAGCCAGGGGATTTACAAACAATCGAAACGGCATTGAAAACTTGTGGAAAAGCATGACGGCACATGGTAATGTAGTGTTCCTGTATGTGTACCATGATTGTTTATTTTTATTCGTTCTAACTATAAATGAAAAATACAACAGCGGGACAAAGCAGCGAAACTGGTAAACAACAATATATTAGAAGCAGTTATGTAAAAGTGTCATTGGGCTTTCATCACAAGGCTTCAAAGAATAAAAGGTGATTACGTGTGAGAGCTGGGCCTAGATCTATTACGATGATCTCTGCTTCAGCTGTTGCGTATACGGTCGAGCTGATCAGTTCGAGGAGTTGACCTATGAGAGCTATCGGGGGGCACAGTTTATAATAAAAGTATGATCTATGAAGTGCAGCTTGGAAGGGTACGATCTTATAACGTGTTGTTAACGTCTACGATACCCTATGGTTATATATTTTTACGATTTTTGCGCACGATTAGTAAGATAAAATAAGAAGACAACAACGTATTTATACAAATAGAAGCACAAAGTATTCAAGGAGATGGTGAAAGACTTTCTTTGAGGCTAAAGGCCATCGTTTTTTATATCACGTATGAGAACTATTAGTATTAATTAATATATTTAATAGTGTATCTACGTTTTATAATCGACTCCATTAGGCAACAATGTAGCACAGGGTATACAGGTCATACCTCATAAACAAAAATTGATCAGTTGCTTTTGCTTATATGAGGCCAACAGTACTCACGCGTCGTCAACATTTCTCTTGGACACAGCGAGACATACAAAAACAACTGTAGTTAAAGTTCAGAAAAGTGGAAATTACTTAATACTCACATAGCAGAATGTGATGGCCTATGGCTGAAGAGACGGTGCGCTAAGTTATATTAGAATGTACTACTAGCAAGACATTTGGAGAGTTGTTAGTGTTGTTAGATTTCACTTAACGGAATAGGCAACACTCTGCCTTAGAGTGTTGCCTATATCGTTCTTGTATATTTCGAAAATTTGTAGTTATCATATGATGACTGACCGAACCCGATTGCCACTGCTCATTAAACATACCCATGGGGCACCTGAGCATAGCTGCGACCTCAACAGATTCGAGCACATACATCGTTAGCAGCAGCCACGTTTGGCGTGGCCTAAGAATACATCGCATTCAAAAGATACGTTCGCTATATGACCACATTATGACAGCGATAAAAAAACAACGCCTCGAAAATGCACGTGAACAAGAAGCTGGGAAAAGCCTTTTGAATACCGAATGAGCTTCTCCGTTCACCGACTTTCGAATAGGTTGCCGTGTTAATTACACTAGCACGATTTGATTTTTAGCATGCGTAAGTACAAAATCGTTCCTCTCTGAGTCGATATAATTAGCCGAATTTATTTTTGAAGGCTCCAGGAGAAGTAGGAGTTTGGTCCAGGTAGGACAGTTATGACAAGAATGCTCCGTATGTCAATCAATAATTGTGATGCTTTAATATCTGTTATCGCTTGTCATCACTGTATCGTTGCCTATTCTCTCAAAGCGAGCAGATATCATAAAGTAGATGAGTTCGCCTAAAATGATCTTCCACTAATTTTTAATAGTTCTACGTGTTCTTAACTTAGAAACCATTTGGTTATTCCTGATCATAACAACACTGCATGAAGATAGAATAGTATTTTCAATTGATCTTTCGAAAAATATGAACGTCGCTAGGATTTGAAAGCCTATCGTTCAAACTGACGAGAAAAAGGTTACCCAAATCTATACAATATTATAACACAATCAAATAGGAGTAATAATTGATGTGACTGAGCCCGTTATTACACATCTTATAATCTGTATCTATTTATCTATATACCAGCGTATATGGTATTTGTATTGTTCGATAGTTTTGCCGCGGATTGATCACTAACCAATAAGATCTATTTTCCCTTTATGCCCTTAATTGTAGTATAACATATGCAACTAAAATAAATTCAGAATTAGATAAAAAGAAGCTAATTTTTTCTTTAATATTAATTCAATCGATCGATTAATCAATCAAAGTTTTATTGCATGGCACCACAATATGAATTATGTTTCAATCCTGCTCTTCAATAAATCGATAAATGTACATATTCCGTCAACGTTAAGCGGAAAAAATCAAATTATCCGTTTTTCGTCATTAACCTAACTTACAATTGTTCGTGAAAGAAGAACATACACAAATATACCAACAAGCCTTCAGGCAATTGGATGTTGACAAAGTTTCAATAAAAATTGAAAAGTTCAACGGTAACAGAGTTGTCCATTAAAGTCGCATCAATCCAAGTTCGACCACGATTAAATCGATTCTACCGTCTGCCCTGGCCCGAAATACTCCCTTTGCGACGTAAAACTGTGATAATTGTTTTCGTTCTCTTCCACAGGAGCGACTACAATTGCCTACTGGTCAAGCAAGCGATGCCCTTAATTAAGGGCCATAAGGGGGATACGAATGTTCCCAGTAAATGAGGAAGCCAGCTGTGTACCTAGCGAAATAACGAAGGAATTTTTGTGGGAATGGACGCACGTATGAACGCCACAATTGACGCGGCTTCTACGTTTCCGAGAAAATACGGTGCTTCCACATAGGTTCATTTAGGCCGACTGAAAATACATAAACAAGGTACAGCTGTTGCTGCTCTGCACAACACGAACGTTTGCGCTGTCGGCAGCGTCGGAGGAGGTGCGAAGTTGATGCCTCTTTTGATTGCTTTGACCGTTTCGAGGAGAAGTTCTAATAATGAGATGATTAATAATAATAATAATAAAACAAGTAGAGGATGCCAGTACGTAAAGTGGAAGCAGTAATGGGTGCGTCTGTCCTTGGCTACGCGCGTTTTAGCAGTATACTCCATAGCGCTGCGGAAACGGTCACTGGCTAGTGATTTTCATTATGAGCAGCTTTAGTGGCAATTGCATTTCATAAACTCCAATTGTTGTCTCCTTTATAAAATACATGTGGTGTCTGATCCATATATTTTGCCTGAAGTTTATGCCAAGTTGCAGCAAACACAGCCGAAATTCTGTGGAACTATCCCTATCCACGTTAAATATTCACCCCGCATTACCATATTTGAGTATAAAAGGAGCATACTAACGTATAGGATCAAGAAAATATGTAGATAAGATAAAGTATAAAATAAAACATAAAAACAAAACCATAAAAAGATAAAGATAACATAAAAGTCTCTTACATTAAGGGATTATAGACAGCCGCAACATCTTTTAGAATAAGCCATTATTTAATTATTAAAAAAAAACAAACATACGATGTCCCCTTTCTACGTTATGTTAGCTCCAATAGTCAATCTTCAAAGCAGCCTTAGACTGGGCACCAAAGGATGAAACTGAACGAGGTGAATGATTATTCTGTAAGTGTACCCAACCTTCTGGATGCGATTCTACGGTGGAACTGAATAACCGTCGACGACAGAGAGGCCCAACTGCCACCATTAAGCAGATAATCGGCCTGGCTCAAAGAGACACCTAGACCCACTTTTGTTTTCTATCTTGCTGACGGGCTTACTTAATCAAATAAGCGGGCTCAAGAAGTCAGTCGTAGTCCCTTGGTGTGCAGATGACCTATTGATGTACGGGTCGAACAAGTTCCGAATATAGTAAGCTCTAGTCCGGCTCCATGCGGTAGTGAGGTTTAGCAAAGGAGACATGGACAGTGTTTACTGACACCTTACCTTTTACCTTGCGAGGTTGCCTTTTGCCTACATAAAGCGGTTTCCGTACTTGGGGTTACTTTCCTCCACAATGATAGCTGTTTCATCGCGCACGTCACCGAAAGTTACAGGAAGGCAGTGTTGCCGCACGAGCGATCAAATCACCTCATCGCCTGCCTTTGGCAGTCGTTCTCAGCTTGTTCGATTTCAAGGTAGTTTAGATCGCAAAGTATGAGATACATGACCCTTGAGAAGATCTTACAGTCGAGAACCGAGGGCGCTGAAATCGCTTCAAGATGTTTTCCCCCAAAAATTTCCTCGCGTGTACTCTAACAGACTTGTCACTGCTGTTCGAAGACCTGTGTCTTCGTTTGGAGCTCTCAACAACGAACATTTTTAGAATCAACCTTAAGAGCTGGAAACAGAAAGGCGCGGCGACTCATGGAACCTTCTTTAGTTACGATGGGGAACAACGAGTGGGAAGGGATGGACCAGTTATTGGTACATGCCCTGCCGTGCATGGATTCCACCATAGACTTTGCAGGAAACTAGCTTTCCATAAACCCGGCGCTACATTTAAGTGCTTCAAGCGCGGGTCATGTTTTGATAGATATCATCGTGTTGCTCGTTGCCCCCTGGTAACAGATTTAGGACACCTAGCAAATGTCTTAGATAAGTATTTTTTTTTTAAACACATGCAACGTTAAAAATTATTTCAAATGTTAAAAATACTTTCCGATATTAAGATAATGTACCGTCCACCAGTATATATGTAGTTTTTGACAATCGGCAGCTAAAAGTGGATAAGTTAAATTTTATAGATTATTCTCATAAACCGACAGCCAAATCTACCCCAAAATTTGATTTCAGGAAGCCTGGAGTGAGTTTACCTACAATTCTGGCTTTAATGTCACTCGAGAGAGGCCTGACTTTCTACTTGAAAGGTATCTTCTAGCGGTGCTTAGTATAGAGTGGCCAAGGTTCAGACTGTTTGTTGGAGAAAAAATCGATATTCATACGTGTCTATATATGTTGCTAGCTTTTTACGCAAGCGCATCGAAACCTATCCTAAGGGAAGGATTATGCTTGTAATTTACGCTGCAGTAGTCTTTTGTCATTCAAAAATTTCATGAGAGAGCCAGCCCTGGCTTTCTGGAGATCAATATTTATTTTATTTAGCGAAGTTGGCAGATGGGTCGACCCATTTTTTTTTTTATTTATATTTTCAGTGATTCCGTTCAATGATGTTAAACATCACTAATCAAATACTGGGGTCTATCTAATTGTTAAAGCTTAGCATGGCTACATAAGACCGTATGGAATCTTTATCGATTAGTTTGGTACACGAATATCCCTCTGGCTAAAAGCAAATTCAAAATGACGCCAACAAAAAATAACTGAATAAACTTACATACTTCTTTTTTTGTTACTTTATATGTTCAAAATTTTACTTAACTACAACATCAGTTACATAGGGCCCCTTGACTTTCTTCAGGGCAGTTATTTGCTTCAATCAATTTTTGGCTACTTTCTGGCTTTCCTCCCCACAAAAATTTCGGTCAGAGATGAGGCATATTTTTACGTGGAGAGAATAAGCAAAAATGCTTTTTATGGGGGATCAAGAATTTCCGGGCTATTCACGAATAATAGTTACATCTTAATAAGAAAAAACATTGCCTGGTGTGGTACGTGGGTCGAAGGCATCACTGGTTTTCTTTTACCCGTAAATTCTGGTCGCTACTATGAGATAATCTAAAGCTTTTTTGTGTTCCTAAATCTTGTATGACATATTGGATTTGGATGGATACTTTGCCCCTCCATATGAAGGATAACTTAATTCCCTTATTAAGGAATTACTTCAGTAAATAGCTGATTTCCAGGCAAGAGGGCGTCGACTAGCCGTCTGATCATGTACCATAATTCTAACGCTCTACCTTTTTTATGGTGGGGGGGGGGGGGGTGAAAAACAAGATGTGCTGTTTGTGGATATATGGATATGGAAAGTGTACAAACTTAAGGAGAATGTCCATGCCGCCTGTCTAGGAACAAGATCAGATCTATGCAAGGAAGTCGCTAAGAACTAGGTCAAAAAATAACTGCAATAAAAAAGCTTAGAGAGGCCATTTTATTGACTGCAAATTTAATGTAACACACCAAAATTTATAAATATATTTTGTTGTTCTTCGTTGATATCTTTTTGAAGTTGTGCCAGATCGGTTGGCTGCTTCTATACTGAAATCTGCAATAAAAATGGCTGTTTACTCCAAAACCAGCGATAACATTTTTTTATCTGCAATTCTAATCAGCGAAGCAAAGTAAGCCAGAATACAATCCCATAAGCAAGGACTAGTTAGTTTGTTATTTAATTAATAAAATATTTATATCGCACTAGTGTTTTCAGAGAAACCGATTTCGAACATGCCGTTCGAAATAGAAAGTAAAGGTCTTAAGAATAAGGAAATTGTCTTGCAGTTCTGGAAAGTTCATATTGACCTCTATTGGCTGTAACACTAAATTAAGCTTGTTTACACAAGTATTTATTTTATTGCAAAGCAGGGATCAATAAATCGATATCTTTCTGACAAGCAGGGTGTAACAGGGATAATTGTTACCAATGGATTTGCTGAGCGGGCGAATACGCGTTTATATTATATTATATATATTATATATATATAGTTCGAATGTGCGTAGTATTAATAATCTGGGCCGCACTGGGAGCACCTCAAATGTGGGCTGAACACATGCTCATAGAAGAGGAAAATACATTTTGAAATGTGTATGTGTATCACACGTGTGGACATTACTCACTCATCCTAATCCAGCAGTCTCTATATATTGAACTCAGAACCTGCTAGTTCAAATCTGCTAACTGTTACTTTTTTGAAAAAAAGTCAACTGTTGGACTTTTCGAAGTGGTCCAGACAACCCAAATGCACTCGCACAAATCTCCTAAAATAGCTACCTTGGTGATAACTGGGGTACCAGCCAGGCTGTCGCGGCCTCGAATCTGAATATCCGCAAAAAAGAACTCCCACGACTAGTGCTCGAGCTAGCGAGGCAGCCTGGAGAAAACAGAGCTTGGACAGAAGCAGCCACATCCTAAACGCTTCTAAACCTGTAACAAATTTAGTCTGTATGAATGGCTCCTATCAAATAGAAATTACTTACTCTGGAGGAAAGCACGTGCGAAGCTCTTTGCCATTTCCTTGGACTTTGGCAGCTTCGCACCTGCTGAAGAGAATAGGTCGCACGCTATTGTTGTGTTTTAGAATAGCAATGCCTTTATCTCCAGTGTGCAGCCGTATTGAAGTCCACATATATATCGGCCGTAATCGATGCGCCCGCGACGAGTTGTTCCCCTTCACAGCCGAACAAAGATCCAACGTCAAACGAGAAAACTCCGTCTTTTGGGGCCAATACGGTTCGCTTCCAATCGGACCTTATTCTTATTATTATCTAATTATTAACGTTAGCGTTCTCGTCGCTGCCTTGTGTAGGCATCGTTTCATTGACGTTCCCAGCGAGCAGCTTTTGTCCTAATTGGTTATTTTGCGCGTCGATGTCGCTCGTTAGGCTAACCTGCCTAGACGATTTATTCTTCGAGTCGGTGCTGTTGGCACAACGGTCATGAAAACCTTGCCACGACTGCCGCTGCATTATAATTGCCACAGGCAGCTAGAACCATCGACAGATGTTTACACTTAATGCCTTCATTATAAAAGTGGCTTATATCGGTAGGTGCAAAATACGAAATTTTGATGGATTTCTCCCTGGCTGGGTCTGTTCGTGGCTAAAACTGGCGGAATCGGAATGGCAGTTGGGCACTCCCAAGAACTCATCGTGGGTCGCAGAAGTTGTCTTGCCTTGGGACGTTGCCTGATTGGGCAGATAGTAAATAGTCAATATGTTATCAAGTAGAAAGCGCTAGCTGCACTGTGTTCATGAGATGTTTCCTAATCCAATCAAAAAAAGCGTGAAAGGTCAAGATCTGAAACAAATCAAACCAAAAGAAGAGACAGACGAACTAATATTTGTATTTATTCAAGTAATCAAACTGGATAACGTAACTCGTCATATATTGAAAGATGAAGGACTTTCTTCTTTCTTTGCTCACACAAAAAGGCTTTTTTGGACATGTTAATTATTAATATCACACTATGGACTTTATTAGGAAATCATTTAATTAACAGATGGATCATAGTTATAATAATGGTTATATTACTAAATAGGATAATGAAATTTCATGACATACATTAGAATAGAAAGCGGAAACTTTTTTAACAATTTTAGTATTTTACATAGATCTTGAAGATAGAATCTTGTGCACTGTGATTAAAAGTCTGACTTCCTTCAACGCTGAGTTCCTTCTGTTTTTGTCATTTTTGCCTGGATGGTTTATCTTCGCCAAAGGTTCATCGACACAATCAGACTATAGGAGATTCAGTTATATAGGTAAGGTGACATTTTTGTTAACATAAAAGGGCTAGATAACTAACTATTCATTGTTACACACGCAGACATCGAATCCACACCGCTGCTTCATACCAGTGTTTTTTTGATATTGAACTAGTTATAAAACTGAACGCCGTTATATCAATAATAATTTATCCACAGTTGGAATTTGTCAGCCAGAAGCTGCTATGAAATTACCGATTTATATCACAAGATCTGCCTCATTGCCGGACGTTTGCTTTCTGTTGCTTTTTGGTACACCACAAGTTCTCTACAAGTTACCTTTGACTGTAACACGCTGAGTGAGTGTCAGATTCATCTGCGGAGTCTTTATGTTAGCTGTCAGTGTTTTCCAGGCGTTTCGATGCGGGAGGGACGGAGCCCAAACGAGATAACGTATCGCTAGAAAAGCACGCAAATACATACACTTACGCAACGATAATAACAATCTTCATCATCATTACTTACAACGGTACGCGGTTTACTGGAAAACAATTTAGTACCCCGCAAGCAAACGCCTTAAACGGAATAGCTGTAAGAGAGCTGCCCTAACGAGCTTCCTCTAAATACGCCGCCAACAAGGTGGTGAATTTAAATAAGCCCAACTATATAATGCTACATGCTATAGTTAAAGTATCAAAGCGTGTTCCTAATTGTGAGTACAAATCTTTTAGTCGCCAACGATAGGTAGCATTGTATATACCACCAATGGTTGAAAAACAAGCGTAATGGGCTATTGTAGTCGACAGCACGATAATATTCATTAGGTCTAATTATAGATATATACTATTGGAAAAGTTGCTCTGAGGTGTAAACCTACGCGGGGAAAGAAAGCTACGTTTTCAACTAAGAAAAATATAAGCTCACAGTTGAAGCCAAGGTCAAACTACGGGGCAGTGCAAGAATGGACGACGAAACGCAAAATGGTATAGAAAGGCAGAGTCCCCCTCCAGAGGATAGGTAATTCACCATCTTGACGTGATATATTCGTCTTGACAAACAACATTTTACACGCCTATTTTCTACATAAGTCATCTAATGGCCATTGAATTATGAAACTGTGAGATGAATAGTGGCAATCGTTTTCTCTGCTTTAGTATAGTAAATAGTGTTTTCTCTGCTGTATAAGCCCCTTACAACCTAATTGTGTAAACAACAGAATTTATGGCATGTTCCGGTAGATCTAGCAAGGTTGTTCCTGTTGAAAAAATACACTTCTGTCTTTTGCAGGAGCGAAAAGTGATCGTACCAGCCCGAGGTATATATGCAGACTACGGTACAAACTTTTGGCTAGAAAGAATCGCTTGAAGGTGATGTTCAAAGTTCAATAACAAAATTTTGAAACCAGCAGATGCACCTTTTCTCGATTGTACTGGCTGAACATCTATTTAAGGGGAAACGGCACGTAAAGCAAAGCAGTTTATGAATTGGCCAAGAAATTTGCTATAGTCATGTAACTGTCAACAAATATTTCTGGCCTATGGGTTTGCTGGCCGTTTGGAGGCCCAATAAACCCAGTGATATCAGAGAGAAAAATGCTTCTTTGTTATCTTTCTATATCTGGTCTAGCTTTGAGCGACAATGACAGATTTCTATAAAGAACTGTGACGAGTAACGCGAAATCGTGCCTTTACGTTGACAAAATGTTATAAAAAGCCATGCTAAGTTCCAAGAGGTATGCCAGGATTAAGCCAGCTTCCCATCCAAAAATGCATGAAGTGCGTGTGATGAAACTTTCAAAAAAAAAAAAAAAAAAAAAAGCGAACCAGATAAAGCCATCCTCCTCAACGACAATGCTAGATTACCTATGGCAAAAATTGTTGAAGTTCCCTTTCGCACTTTTTCGATCACCATAGTCTCCTAATCCGGCATCGAACAGTTACCGATGAACGCAGACCGTGGCACCAATGTGTTTTACAATGAGTGATCTAAAACCCGTTTCAGTCGAGCTATTTAATTGAACGCACCTAGAAATTAGCTGAGAGATGGAAAAGGGCCGTAGGGTGGACCCAAAATCAAAGAATTCATATTACGTGAGAAATCAATGTAAACACTCATGTCCAATAGACTTTGTATGTTAGCTGCAAAACGTATGGGATAGTGCGTCTGTCTTAGGACACAGTGAGTTCCTTTTAGAGGATTAATCGTCGTGCACACGAAAAAGCTGAAACGATAAAAACTTTTTTATTACGCTCCAGTCACCCGTGTTTACCGAATACAGTACAAACGTATGTATACCAAATGTCCGACAAGCTAGCACGATAATTAGCTGGGCCCATTGGGTCGGTACACTAGAGCAAAGTTAGAAGCAACCCGCACAACACATATTTTCCAATGATTATCCAACGAGACTTGAGACAATCACCCTGCGTGCCTATTTTGGCAAACCCTTTTAACGGACTGGTGTAGACACTCATTAGAAAAAAGCTCTTTCTCAAACTGAGGCATAAAAAAAAATCTATAATTGCTTATTAAATATTCCCCCTACGATGTTTATAATGCTATATGGAAAATAAAGATCTATTGAATAAGGGTATGAGAGGTAAATTTTTCCCAGCTAAACAAAAACGTGCTATTCGAGTACCCGACGTTTAGCGAAAGGTCGTATCTACGTTGTGATTCAAATGCGACTTTCAATGTTTTTAACTTAAAAGATGTATATTTCCGCTAAAAAAGTAAGTATGGACATTTTGGAGCTTCCTTCCAGTTCTGACAGCTTTCCATATCGTCAAGTTTGAGGGTCCAGCGTTACAAGCACGCATTATTATGATTTAGCACTGCGCCTTTGAAAATATTCCCGTCCCCGGCCACATTCCCAGAACTCTGATTTCTTTACTTTGTTATTTTTTATCAAAGGGGCACCCGTACAAAGTGTCTGTCCTCCTACGCGTCAACAAAAACACTCGTTGTCATTGGAACTTCCCCAGCGAGCTTTGCTTTGTAGATATTTCCGTAAAACTGGCTCGGTGGCATGTGCGTCGACTGTGGAAGCGGGTCATTGTCAAATGTGAGCAGTTGAATGATAGACGATTCATTTTCGTGATGTTTTTCGTCGTCATCACAGGTTTCTTCTTCATGAACAACTCTGTTATTAACCGCAACTTGCATCGCGTTCGTCATTGTTGGAGTACTCTTTGATAGTAATTCACAGTGATGATTCCTTGTCATCTTTTAGCCGCAGGTCTTCATAAAGACGAGTCCTGCAAAGGCTACTGCGGCCGACAGGACGAACGAAGCGAGTCCTAGGCAGCGTAAAATGTGAGTTCGTTCCAAGCAGCCATATCGTTGCAGATGCCACTGTGGATCGTTGTGACCGGTTGGGCTGGCGAGGCCTTTCAGTCTGCGGCATAGGCAGAAATGGCCAATATCAGCAGGTTGCTCACGGGTTATGGTCCACCGTCAGGCAGTGCAGCTTTGACTGCTGTACGCCTGGATCAATGGCCGATCAGCTCACATTTTTAAACTGACGGAGGAAAACTTTTTATATATATATATATGGATATGTCAACAACCATGAGTGTATGCGTGTGGCGGAAGAAGAACTGTCGGGTTAACATAGCAACGATTGACCGCGTGTCGTATATTAAAACAATATTAAAGCCTTTGATAGTAATAATACATTATCAACGTTACTATGATTAAGTAAATAATTAAAGTAATATATTAACTTAAACATATGGGAGGCAGCCTATTCCAGACCACACGTCATTTGTTGAGACTTGTAGCGGCTGACAAACGCACTTCGAGGAACCCAAACGTCCAGTTCATTTCCTTGACCTAATGGCTGCTGCGTAGATTTAACGCAGTTAAAATCAACTTACAAGGAGACACTTGAATAACTGTAATTTGGTTTTCTGCTTCTTTCATGCTCGTTAATATGTCTTGTTGTGGTATATGAGAGAATACCATGTCAGCCGTCTTATTTAATCGGTTCAGCAATTCGACTTGTAAAGCTCGTTCGCTCCGAAAATCTCTCGTTCCTGTTATGGCTCAGTGTATCGCAGGATCAAGTATAGAAACGGCTTTCCTGGCTGACCGTCTCTACCTGAGCACCAAGCTAGCCCTGCCTAGCCTCTGCTTCCGTAAAACATCAATTGTGTATAACAAATATTCATCAAATGTCCCTAGCGAGCTTATATACGTGAAAAAAACGTTATGTCTACGACAGTTTAATGTATACGTTACATTGACATTGTCATTAAGGTCAACGTGGGTGCTTGATGAAGAATCACTAGGCGGGTCCAGTTAGCGTTTGGAAGCAAGAACATCTTCTTTGAGAGTCCATTAGTTCATACGCTATTCTAAGTGCGGTGCAGGAGAATAAGCTGTACTAAGATTACGCATGGATGAAGCTCAACGAATAGGTCTGTACGTGGCCAACTTACAACATAAATAACTTCAGTTACAACAACAAATGTACTCTTTGCTTTTAAGCTCAACGGTTTAACTCTTGTATTAGGGACAATATGTAAACAAAACGACCAAAACTACCGATACAGCAGGGACACGAAAGTGCAGCATATTACTGAGCGATCAATTTACTCCACTTAGCCTAAACATGTGTAAATATTCGTACAAACATAAAATATACTCCATCCCATACAACTTCTATTGTGATACACAAGCGCTTCTTTAGGATAGCTCCACTCCGGGGGTTAACTCTACGGTACACTTCGTACCGAGACTTTAAAGTCACTACAAGAGCACTTCTCTAAAAAGTGCTAGTAATATTGTACTACTGCTGCGTTGAATCAGTGTCCTCGTAACAGAGACCCAATTAGATTGACAAACTGGGCACGGAGTAGATTTTTGACCCAACATACGTTGACAAACAATGTAAATGTGCTTTTAGCTATTTAATCTATTCAGAGCTTTGATCGTTACAAGGATCAAATGTAAACGAGGCGAGAATTGCAAAGATGATATGAACTTATACTTCAAGTTAGGCGCGTCTAGGGCAGAGAACAATAGCTAGATTCGAACGGGGATAGTAGAAGGATGCTGCTAGTATCGAAATGATTGTACCAATGCTTCTCCCAAATACAACCCTTTCATTCCCGTTACGCATATTCATATGAAATACATCCGATCTTGATTAGAATTTTGAAATTAATTAACTGTCTGTCAGTGGGGCTGCTGCCCTTCGACCGCCGCGCCTTGAAACAGGTAACCGCAACTATATGTATTTCGACTGAAATAAGAAAGACGACGACTTTTTTTCTTGTTAATGTATCGGGTATCCATTGTTAAAATTGCGTGTAATCATCAGGGTGATACGACTGTCACACATAGATTTGATAGCACTAGGCGCAAAAGCAACGCTTAATAGGAATATTAAATATGACGTAAGTGTAAATCTGTAAATGTTGTTTAAATTTAAGACCGACCAAGTAAAACTTCCGTTCCCTATGACATGCGAAGCAAACAAATTATATATATATATTATAAAAGCAAAAAAACTAGAATAGCAAACGAGCGCTAGACACAGTTATTTCGCAATTAGATTATGTTAGAATTAAGTTTGTTTAGTTGTGAAGATAAGTTGAGATACAACGATGGTATGGGTGCAGACAGAACTTTCTCAATTGTAACGGCATATTAACAGGAGCAAATATGGGCGGAAACACAGTTTAGCTCTCGTTAGGGATGAAACACTACTTGCACAGAAGAACACGAATAAGAAACGCCCCGAAGCATAGCCAAAAGGGCTCGAAATCGAAAGAAAAATTCAGTACTGGGAAAAGCGGAACAAACTTTAGAAAGGGAACGATAAAGTGGAGAAGTGTTACTGACGAAGCCTAGTGGAATAGATGGCGGAGCTAGAAGGACGAGCACAGCATCCATGGCCTAAGTTATAAGGGAACAAAGTTGGCCACGCGCAGCCCCGTAACGAACTCCATCTGCGACGCAAGCTCTTTTCCCGCAAGCAAACCCCTCCGCAAACTGAAAAATTCTAGTCGTACGAACGCGTAGTGAATATGATGACGACAGAACACTGATATCGCCTAGGAGCAACAGTCTCATTGTTAGCACAAAATCGAACTACCGAAGACGCACTCGTTCCATGGGACGATCGGAATTACCTGGTTAATAATATCGAACAATTATCATATCTTTACCCTATTACACTGAATATAAGTTAATAATGGGTTATTAATGGACAAGGGTTAATAACTAGTATATCAACTACTGTTTTCGAAGATCTTCGACTGTTTGCAATTTTACTAGACAGTGATATAGTATAGGATATGCACGAACGTTAATAGTGTTTCGTTTCATGATAGAGGATTTCGGGACGAATTTTTTCGTCGGTTATCATCATCAGTTCGCGTAGTTCCTGTACACTATAATCTTGAAGTTTCATGTCGGGCACACCTTCGTTACCATTTCTACAGCTCTTCGTATCTTCAGCGATAGGTGTCCAGCGTAACTGAGTGCTATTATCAGTAAACGTACGCTTCTAAGGGAATCCTGTAGATTCATTTGTATTTTTCTTATTGCACCTGTACAGAACAAAATTTCGCCGTGCTCAACGAAAGTTCCGCCAGCGACTCCAACTGTCATTGGGATGCTCTCGGCGCGTTCGGTCTGCAAATCACCCACGTAAAAGTAGTGAAGTTGACGGTTGTCAAAGTACAGAAGGGCGTCAACATAGAAGGTGAACACCTCATTTTTAGAGGTCTCTTTGTCTTCATGTTCGTCTGGGATTGTATCACAGTTCCAGTGGAAGTGTCGTTGCCCCAACTCAACTGTCGACTGCCACTTTCTTTAAATGTAGCTTCTATTCTCTGAGTGGATTCGCGGTTTGCTTTGAGGATGAAGTCACGCTTTCTGTTTTGGATCCTTTTGCGGGTCGAAAATACTCGCGGTAAAAACGACCGCTGCATGCAGCGTCAAAATGGCGACAGTCACGTAACGAAAAGTGCGATTTAATTTCGCGTGAGGGTACTGACGCTCAGCCAGCCCGGACGTTTTAGCGGGCAGGATGAGTTCAGTTTTGAAACCATTGAACGTTTTTTAGTCCTTGTTGTAAATGTTAAACGCGTCATTTGTGTCGGGTAAGATTAGGTTTCTTAAACTTTAGTAGCGGTCCGCGTTCGACGAGTTCAGTGGTTAGGCTTCCAAAAGACTAAAATCGCATCTTTGAAGCGCAGGGAACTTAATTTTATAAACAATGTCACACAGGTCCAGTATGGCCATATTTGATTGGTCGACGACAAATCCGTCACCGTATTATAGCAAAGAAGTAAACGGAACATTTGTAAATTGAGGAATTCCTGATAATAGTACTGATCAGATGCCCGATATGAGCTGATCGGTGGGGAAGTGCTCGTAGGAGAGTTAAATCTACCAGTGAATGCACGGACAACCAACGTCTGACAGGATGCCCCAACCCAGGACTGGTAAGTGGGTCTGAGTTACAGGCCGATAAGATCCAATGGAATATTCTCGCCTAATTCTTCATCACTTTCATAAGTGCGATAACGATGAGGTTAACTAGGCTAATTAATTGATATGCGGGAGTGTTAACATGGTGATAAATTACTTCAGCTCAATACTGTTATAGCCTAATATCACCAGCCGGTTGAAGTAGGTAGGTAAGTAAAGTTCAGTAGTAAAAAAAAAAGTAAAAAGACATGTAAAATAGTTTTTTTTGCGTATCGCAACACTTTGTTGGAAAAGTTCTTTTTGCCTGCTGTACTGACTGATATCTCACAGCTGATAGAACCATCAAATTCTGTCGAATGTATAGCCTCTAATAAATAACTATGTGAACTATTATATTAGTAGAACTTCACTAAAAATATACACGAAGGATACTTAAGAAAAAAAAAGGAAAGTGTGCGTGTTCTCTATCGGTTTCAAGTACTTGTGATTATCACCATCCGAACTTACTGCTCCGGATTCCGGATTTCGTAGGACCCTTAACGTTAACTGTCCAGTCCTTCTGTGAAAGAAAGCTAGAACAGACTCCTGCTTTAAACGGCCATTCAAAACCTGGAAGAGATTCAAGTAGGCACATAACTGCATATTTAGCAGATTTATGCAAAGTCACTTCAGAGCTCAAAGCAGATCGTATATTCGTTCCAATAAATGGTCGAGCTTTTGCCAGGTGCCTATCGACCGATTTCGGTATCATCTATGCAGGCACGCAGCTTCCATATCGATCCGTCGTGTCTGTGTATGCTGATAATATTACGAAGCTCGTTGCTCTGTACGACGACGCACCTTATACGGTCAGCGAACGAAATGATATAGGTCCCTTAGATAGGAGGCTACAAAGCTGTGAAACAACGACGTCTCGTATGTATGATTACGTAGTTCACCTAGCATTGGCTGTGCCTACCCTGCAACAGATCTACTACAATCAGCCATTTTGCAAAGATTACCCCACAAGCAACTATGCATAATCAGCCGTCTACGACAGTACATCAGACAACTCATTCTCAACACGTACAATCTATGAAAGCTATCGTCACTAACATTAAATCTGATGTTGGAATATACAATTGATAAAATACCTACTGGATCCCGGAATATAGCTGGCTGTATCTAACCATCAGTTTGAGTAAGGCGCTAGTATATCTTAAAACGTAATGTCCAAGTTACGTATTTTACGTACAATAGTTACGACTTAACGCTTTGCTAGTTTCTCGGAACTGGTTAGAGATTAATTCTCAGTGCATGAAAGCGTATGGGCAACAATTCAATATCTAAATCGTATATCAATAGTTGAGTATCGTTCTGCACAGTCCATCATTTAAGAAAAAAAAAACGATCACTCGATGACATTAAGACACCGAATTACTTTCGTCACGATATTCCGCTGTACGCGGATAGTAATTACCAAAACACTGCCCTTGACTCTGGATCTCAAGCAGGCAGGAGACTAAAACACTCGAAATCCTCGAGAGCTAAAAGCTCCTTCATCTCTATTACAACCATTATTTATTATATTATTAACCATTATATTATTTAGTACTATATTTTCTTGAGTACATTAATCAAATCTAATAGTATAAAAAGCTCACTTGAAGGTTTAGAGGAGGTATGAGTTGAAGTCAGCACACGTCGTAAACCGCGACTACATGGGCAAATTCAGCGACTCGCGGGGCTGCAAGCCATTGAGCGATACGAACTGGATAGAGCGTGATGCGTGAGAGCGGACTTCGTTGGCCATTTTGTGAAAATTTGTCTCAATGGACGATCACCTTCAGATTTAGCGTTGCTGCTGGTATCGACGCAGGCTATGTCTGGCCAGCTGCAAACTGAAAAGCAAGAAGAAGGTCGCTAGCGTATTCTGTCTTTCTTCTTAAGCTATAAAAGCCTAAGCTGTAAAACCTGACAGGCCTGTGCATCTAACATATTTTCACTCTTCAGCTACGACCTGGCTCTGGAGATCTCAGCTTAGCTATATGACAAGCATTAGTACGTCGTGATACAATTGTTTCCGCTAGGCACATCGAACGCACAGGTATGATGTATGTTATGAATGTGGGAGGCACGACGTTGCCCGCCGATTCGCTCAAATGTCTGCGTAACAGACGACAAAAGCGGACTGAGTAATTTCATACACTCATAGCCAGATTATGGCTCGGATGAGGAGGGCGATAGTATTCGTTCTTGTCTGTTAAGGCTTAAAACTATCTGCATTGCCTTTTTCCTTTCGGTGCGGCCATAGGTGCAATGCTGCGGATAGACGAGGTGGTTTGAAGCCTTAATCAGCACCGCTGCGCGAGACAGGGCCGAAAACAGATACTTGAAGGAGCTTCGGATCACCACTTCCAGCCGGAAGACTCAGAACTGCCTGAACAGGTCTCCTGTTTCAAAAAGGTAAAATGTGAGATTTTCGTCGTTTTGTTTTTGAAAAGCGAAAACTCAAAGTCGAGTTGAAGGCTTTTTCGGAAGACGTTTAGCTGGCAAGTGATTTCCCGCGAACTGCGTACCGACAAGCCCAGTTTTGTGGGAAAAAAAAAAACTCTCACTACACTGACTATCCTGCTTATATGAAAAAAGTTTCGGAATAGTTCAAGATTGTATGAGAAGAATATATAAAAATATGTATGTAAGAGAGCAGTATATGCTTACGTCTTCCAGATCAATCTAACAGTTACGTTCCTTCAAAAATGTCCTCAGCTATCCAAACTAGAAAAATTGAGCGGAACGCACTATTCAAGCCGAGAATGCTTCTTCTCAGTAAGCCAGCGTTGAGTTTAATTTCATTTAGGCTTTTCGTCGTATGCGCTCATATGTACTTAGGTCGGTTTGGTGGCTTATCTTTATATCTGATAAAGATCTGTCGAAGATAGACTTCTTTTGCGACCAGCAAACCCATTTTTGGAAACTGAATCCAAAGAAAGCAGCCAGAATTCTTCATGTGGCATATAACACTTGACTACTATCAAATTAAAGATTAGAAGGACTTGTATCCCCTAAAATTATATTTAAGGGCTGTAAGTTCAAGATCCAGACATTTCCAAAAATACTGGGGTTTTACTAGTACTGGTTTATTTTTTTCAAAGCATATTTTAACATTATCGTAATTAATTACTTCTGTTAAACTATTTATAAAAATCAGACAACTAACGACTAGTGTCATCGTTATTTATCTATCGGCAGCACCATGGCCCCTTAATTTTCTAAAACGAATTCGTATAGCTCTATAGCACACATTAATAGAAATAGGAACGCATTGAGTCACTGTATATACGAAGTGCCAAGTCACAGCCAATAGGCGCATCGAAAAATTCGAAGCTGTACAAGTTCCTGTATATTCGAAGTACAGTATGGAATTATAAAATTTTAGAGTGTTTGATATATAGGCGAACATGTTAGTCCAATGGCAACAGCTCTAGACATAATCAGACGAAGCCATTTGTTACGAAAGAGTCATTCTGAATAGACCAGGCTGTTTTTCGGGACATGATCCCGATGTAAGTTCCCAAGAGTAGGAAGCTACGATCATAGTTTCAGTGGCATAATTCCGAACGAGGCAAGCAAGTAATCAGCAGAAAACTTCGGATGTCGGAAACTGTTATTTAAACATTGAGGCCAACCTTTTCTTATATCCGATGCAGTGTAGGACAAAACATTGAATATTAGATGATACTTATTGTCAATAAAAAAAGATCAAAAGAAACTTTGCGTTCTGTTCCAGTGAGCCGCTGTTAATTTACGTGTCGAAAAATCCAAGAACAGGATCTTACGAAGACAGCACCAACAAACAACTTCAATTTAGAGCACTGAATCGATGAATTAAGGTTCGTCACGCGGTGGTTTCTACAGAGCAAAAATTCTCAGCTGCAGTTTCAGGCTCATTTGAATGTCCTTCTATACGCAGGCCATTGTTGTGGAGTTCAAAATTAACTACGACTTTAGAATCGTTGTTGACAGCATCTTTCAATGCGGGTCTGCAAAGTAGAGCCAGGCAAAATCTGGCTTTCACAATAAAAATATTATCATATTGTCGTTATTATTAGTTCTCTATTGATTTCCACAAACAACGATGATTTTAGTTGCGCAATTTGTATCTTTTCAATTCCGAAATCTCATATCTACTATTGCGGATTTTAGATTTTTAGACAATAAACCAGCCCCCACCTTACTCAACCACTCCTGAGAGAAACGCAATTATTTATTTTAATTTATCTCTATTACCAAACAATTTTTTCATCTCCGACTATATGGACCGGTTTAGTGACGGCAGCAAGATTGGTCGTTCGTTACGTAGTCAATCACTCACGATCGCACAACGTTCGTTTACTACCGCCAAAGCAGCTGACTTCGATCTCGGACCACTTCCTCGATTATTTCTACCACTTTCGCCGCTCATCAATGAGCCCGTGAGTTTGCCCTGCCGTTATTTCCCCCCTGACCGAAGAGACGGCGAAGGATTCTCTTACTGTTGCTCTGTCGTCTTAATCCGAGCGGCATCGCTTCTCGGATCTGATACGATTGCGACCCCCATCAAAAACGGCGTACCGCTGCAGCGCCATATAGATGGTAGGGCCTTCCGCTCGGAGTTGATCATGGCGCTCGTGATCGCCTTCTGCGCGCCCATTACTTGCCAGTCGTTGGTTATGTTGCCTTACCACTGGCAATACCTGCTCTATCTGTTTCATTCGACGGCTCGGACCTTTTATGTTCGCGTTGAATGATTGTGATTGGCAAAAGCTCGCCTCCCCTCTCAGCCGTTCGTTCTCTCCATCACGTTTACCGGCTGCTAGACAGAAACAACCGGCAACAATAGCCGTTTATCCCCCTCGCTCTGGGCCATCACCACTAGGTGGGACGCGATCACAATAAGCTACTGGCGATCAGCGCCACCGGAACCAGCGTCGCTCAGCTTGCCCGGACTAACTGTTGTAGCAAAGTCGCCCGCCGCAGTTGTTTCCTCGGCCCGCAAAATCTTCGTCAAAGAGTAAGCCAGCCAAAGGCCAATCGTTTCCATTCGGGGTGCCACCGCTCCTCCTGACTGTGTCACGGAATTGTAGGCGCAAACTGCCACTGCTTATGCTACTGTAGCACGAGTCATTGGCGCAGCGTCGAAGATCGCGCCGCTGACCACGGCAGAGAAACAACGATGGACAGTCGACCTCTGGTGCTCCTGAGCTGGACTCCGGAGCCTCGCGCTCTGAGCTAGCTGCTCGTAGCGGCCAATGCTGCCGACTATGCAAGTGCTCTATGCGGCGGCGGCGGCGGCGGCGGCGGCGGCGGCGGCGGCGGCGGTAGCGGTAGCAGCAGCAATAGCGGTATTATCAACAACTCACATGGTCACAGTAGCAACATTCGGCTGTCAGACTGCTGCTCCATAGCCTCGACGTTACCAGAGTCACGGTTTAGCTAGCTAGAATAGCCATCAGCTCCATGTATCAACAATGGCAGTAAAGAGCAGCGGGCCGTGTACGCTGCCCATGTGAATGAGTGCATGCGTACGTAATAGTTACGTAGAACAGGCTAGAACCGATCAGGTAGCAGCTGCGTTGACTCATGTTTAGCCTTACTGAAACGGGTGACAGTTACGCTCGCGGGAGGCGAAACGTCGTCACGAATCGGGTGTGGGCATGCTTGCCACGTTCTACGACTACTGTCGTCGTATTGTTACGGCTGCTTTGCCACGTCTATTATGATAACGAGCGACAGCTGTGTTATTAACGTATCGTTGGGAAGTTGTGTGCGATAGCTTCACTTCCGTTTAGTCCCGCTACCGCTGCCAGCACTATTGCCGCCGCGCTCGTAGCGACTGGAGTGTTGTGACAAGCCGCCCGGTGCAATGACGCGAAAGCCGGTTTCAGAGCCGAAGTGTCGAAGTCAGCTTTGGGGAGAGCGTACGGGATGGCAGCCCTCGGCCACAGGTGGCAGCGGCATCAACTGTAGCTCTTGTTCGTTGCTTTGTATCGCTGGTTGGGTAGTTGATTAGCGTGTTGCCAGAGCTTGTTGCGTCGAGTCGCAAGCGAACGGGTAGCGCGACGCTCAGCTGCCAAGCGACAAACATAGTCGTAGCGAAATAGCAGCGTACCCTACAAGTTAATCAGTAGAAGAGTTTGTAGCAATGGTAGAAGTGGCCAGTTTTCGTTGTCAATGGAACGCAGGATTTGCACTGAGATCTGCTACGGTAAGCCCGCGCAACGCTCTGCTGACGCTTTGACAAGCGGCAGATAGCTTTCCCCGAACGTTAATAGAAAAGTACGTTCAGATTGATGAACAGTGTGGAAACGAAACTGATAAAGCAAGCGAACAGACAAGGAAATAAACGACGAACAAAAGCTAGGTGTATTGGTAATCGATGCTGTGAGATTGCTGCTCAGTCCGTGCCGAAGAAAAGTTACCAGTAGGAACGGCAGACTCTGTTTCCTCTCGAATCGGGATAGCTGCAGGAGGGGAAAAATGCGCCACTAATTAAAGTATACGAAGAGTGATCGTCATCATCTCGGCGAAATCTACTTAGTTCGGTTTATTCGAGGAGCGACTTGTGCACCCCCTTTACTCAGGTCAGTTGGATGACCAACTGGGTGGACGACGAACGTCACCGAAGTGAAAACGTGCCAAAACCGTAACGGATATTCTCACTGTGATACCTAATGAAAGCGGTTGATAACCCAGTTAGCAGTGGACTGGCATCGCTTCGATCGATGAAAACGACAGCGAACTCTCAGATCCGTGTGTAATTGTCGTTCATTTGAACGTACCCTACGAACGGCACGTTAATCGATGAATCAATGTTTTAAAAACTCGAAGAACTAAATAAGCGCGGCGTACCCCCATGACTGGAAGTTGCTTGAATATCGGAATACATATACCTTTAGCAAAAGTGCGCTGTGTCTGTATTGTGCAGGTGTGAGTCCGTCCGTCGAAGCGTTCTATCGAACCTGTACTTATATGAGCCTGTGACGAGTTCCGTACGACAAGCCGCCAAAATGTCGGACGTATCAAGTGGGGTACAACTCTTGGAACGTGTTCCCGTGCCATCGTTGGCTAGTTACACAGCGATTAGCCTTGGATTGTTATCATGCGCCACTTATTATAGGTAAGGAGAGGTTTCCAGAAAGAAACACCACCAAAATATCGAAACACTGCCTCAGTAAACCTAACCCTGCAGCTCTGCGAGATTTTTTTCGCCTAAACCTTTATGTTACACATTTTACATCGTCTGCGTATAAAGATTCGTTTTCGAGAAATGCGTAACACAGATTAGCACAACACGAAACTTGGGCTCGATTCGAATAGTTATACGGGCTATTCTTCTCGAGACGCCTCAATCCAGATGTACTCGATCGCCCGTCCCTAGGACCAATGATGATTTCCTATGAAATATCACACAGGTCCCACTGTGTCGGCATAAATTTCACAATAAATTAGCTTGATTAAAACAATCTATCGGGCCTTTATTTTTTTATTACAAATACAATTAGTTTTCTATTCTACTACTAATTAGCTGCAATAAATTTTCCTACCATGTAAATACAATGCGACTATTTCTACTGAAATCTGAGTCACGCTTTGTGAACCCTGCTATCTCCTTATTAGTATTTGCCGTCCATATATAGAACAGGGGGAAAAAAAAAAAAAACGATAAGGTTTCTACAGCGTTTCGTTTCACGGCGTATACCATAACTCGTCCTTAATTATATGGAAGAATGTGAAAGATAAATGTTCTCTACTTTTCTATTCCTATGAATTGCGATCCTTCATAACGGAAACTATCATCTGTTGGAACGTATCGCGTTTCTAAGCATACTATTATTTCAAGGGCGACAGAACCCTGAGACCGGCTAGCATCAACATTGTGACCTATACAAATAAGTGATCGTAAAGTTAATCGTTCGACTTGGAAAAAGCGGGAGTAGATGCAATGTGCTAAATATTCACGCTTCCTCTCTAGTGCTCAGTAGAAGTTACATAACCAACTGATGCACTTAGTACAACTTTCTTTCCACTTTCAATTGGTCCTTCCATATCGTTAGAAACGAGTAAAAAAAAACGCGTCTTAGAGGAAAAACTACTTTTAGAGTTGATCATATCTAGAAGCGTCACGAATTTCGGTCGCTCATATATTTGTGCTCTGCAAAACGTGATTAGTTAGCTCTATTGGTCATATATGGCCTCGTGTATCGATTATTACCTGATTGCCACGGTTAACAGAAGCACATAGTATTCTATAATCGCCCACCATAACCTCTAAATGCTTCGAAATCCATAAAAGTCCTTATTTTTACCCGTGTAGACCGTCTTCCAGAATGCGGTTTGGGCTATTCTAGTCAACTAAATAACAGAGGTCCAAGTAACCTCTGCAAGCTGTAGGACTTTTAGGCACGTTTGGGCCGAGACCCTAATGATGACCGCTTCAGAATACTGCACACTTGCACAAGTGGTTTGTTTGCCTGCCACAGAAAATTATCTTGTTAGCATTGCCATTAAGATGCTGTTAGCTTGAATGCCTAGATGCTTCACGACATTTACCTCGGATGAGACTCATAAGTAACTTGATTCAATATGTTTTAGATTTAAAGGATTTTACAGATCTGTTTATGGCTTGTGCCCACCTCACTTAAAGGGGTGCAAACGAATTTCCCCATTACCGGTCCGTATAACTTCGATTATCTGTAACTAAATTAGGTATTATCGGTACAGCCTTATTGGATGCACAATGACAAAATAGTTATTATTAGGATTATCAAAAAAAAAACACACGACTCGTCTGCCTTAATCGTAAGGAGGTTTCTAATTGATGATTGTTGCCGCCTTACGACACTATCGACATTTTGCTGTTACGTGTCTCTTGCATTCAAATGTTGTAAGTGAGCTAATGGTATCAACAGGACTACGTAAGCCAAACATGGGAATTGTCCTTAATGACGAGAGTGACATAATATCATTCGCTTGATTAGGACCCTGCTTAGAGATATATCCGCAATGAAATTTATCTAACCACAATAGCGATCCATACGCGAGTGCAATGGAAACGTCTACTGAAAAATTGTTCAAGTTCATAATGTCTTCCTATTTCGACTTCGAGAAACAACTTAATTTACATAATCTATTTTGAGTCCTGCTTGTTTCTCTTTGATACGCTTTTGGAGATAACACACTTAGCTATCGTGTAAACAACCTAACTTAGGGTCAAGTTTATTTGAATATACGTCCTATCAAAAGAAATAACAAATTAATGAACAAGCAAAGCGCCAAAAAGAACTCGTATCATGCATTCATCGTAGACTACCGATATCCAAACGGGCCAATTATACACGTAAATGAGCAATCGTAGACGCACGTTATTCGTGAGCAAAGCCACTTCTGCCGCACGATACTACATATACATGTACGTACATACAATAGGGAGTTTCCGTTATGTTTTGTCCGACTTTCTACCTGATGCCTATCTCACTATACTTGTGATAGTTCGTACTGCGATTACATGAGTCGTACATCTGTGGTTACGTGGTTAGTAGTTGATATAAATTTTCAGAACACACCGAAACGCCTTATTGTCTAATCAACTATTATTTATTAGCATGTATTTTCGCCATTTGTATTATATTGACCCAGAACGACAACCGGATCTTTGCCTTTTGAGAGGTCAGACGCAGCTGGCACTTCTTCTCCATTCCATCTGTTTGATTTTTGTTATTATAGCACTACCATTGTAAGGACAATGTCGCTATTTCCATTGCGTTCGACAGCTCGGTTCACTCCCGCCTTCCGCAAAAGCAGCGATAGTATAATAGTTAACTGTCGGTATGACCACCGCCTTCGAAGTTCCGCCTCTTTGCGAACAATCTCTTCCGTGTGGATTGCCGCTTTTCTGCTGATCCACCCCCTATACCCCACGCCCCTCGCCTTCGTATCTTGTGTTATCTCTTTGTCTCGATTTCCACTTCTGTTTGTCTCTGCTGTGCAACACGAACTTGCTCCTTCGTCTACGACACACCCTCGTGACCACCGTGCCTGACTCGGTGGATACCGTCGTTCATTCATAGTCCTTCTTTCCGTAGCTTTACGCCCGCTGTTACAGATCCTTCATGGCACCAACACGAGCAGCATGGTCGTAGCTGTTAGCATTGCACAGCTACGCCAGGGTCCGCGCAGAACGCCCCTTCGTTCCGCAGCCTGTTTCTGCTCCGCGCGACAGACAACGACCACCGTCAGCTTCGGTACCGCAGGAGGACAGACGCAGGACAGTCACCGCGTTTTTCCTGCAACTGGCGACGCAAGAGCGGTTCTACTAACTGTTGTTGCGGCATGCTTCAACCAACGACGGACGCTCGCGTCACAACGATCGCGCTGGCTGAAGCACAGCTATTCCGGGGCAGCAGCAACGACAACAAGAACGCTTGTTTTGTTGGCGTCCATTTCTTCGACACGCGTTCTTCCGCGCTGCTAATGTTACTGTTGCTAGTATCGCCCAGCTTCGTGTTTTTGCAGAGTCCCGCAACGCCCGGCGACAGAGCGAATAAGTGAAATGGCGGTAACAGCGCCCACTACGACAGACCCCGTCGGCAATAAATGGCGATGAGCAGGAAATCAACGGACGCTGCAGTGTCCAACAGGTCGAACAACACTATTGTTTGCTTCGTTGTAAACATTTTGGATAACCTTATGCATAGTTGCAGATGAACGAATCTGGCGAAGCAGAGCGGCATGGTAATCGGGAAACCGACGTTTCTTGTTGCGTGTAACGTAGACGTTATTTAGACGAGACATATGAGTCCATTGGCTAGACGTATGATACTTTCTACATTAATATAATTGATCTGGCTACGTCTACAGTGAGAGCGATCTGACAGGATACTAGCTAGGAACAGGCAAGCTGGACCAAAACTGACTAATCGATCGACCAACGGAAGTGACTGCCATTTTATTTCTATAGAAAGCTCCGACTACGGCAGTTAATGCTGCTGTGTACCTTGCATCTGTTGCACTTCTGCTTATTTACTATTTATTGTTTGATTCTTATAGCGAGCGAGTATCATGACAACCCTGTATTGACGATGAAACCGTTGTTGCCCCTAAAATAAATTCGTTCGCCATTGCTAGTCAGTATCGAAGACGATTGGAGCGTCACATGGCAGCGACGACAGCGGTGTGAGCCTAGTCATTAATTGCAGCTGATTTCAACAGCGTCACTTGCGTACTCCCTCTTAGTTCAACATGTTTGTTGTGACTGTCTCGTCGGCAAAAAGCAGCTCCGCTGTAGGAAAGACGGGTCTTCTCGGCGGATGAATGGCAGGACCTATAGTATCGCAAACTTCATGTCCGTTGAAGATGCTGCTGCGCCATGTCTATTACAATCGAATCGATGGCGTAAAATCCTTGTCCCGGCTGCCGACTACCTTCGTGACTGTTTTAGGTAGTGTTTGTTGGCAGTCGATTTATATTTCTTGTTGGGTAGAGTGACTTCCCGCACGTGGGGAATGGGGTAGGGGAAGCAACGTTGCAGGTGCCCAGCTATTTCTATTAGAAAATATATACCATGCAAAGTAAATTGGCGGCGAGTTTGTTTGGAAAAATTGTCAGGATCATTTAGTTACGGTTATGAACGGTGAAAGGCACCTGTTTTGACGTTCATATGCCAGTACCTATTCTGGGACAAAGGTTACACCTGAAGCGGTTTCAAAAAATGCCGATGTCACTCAAAAGCTTCAAAATTACTATTATATCAAATGGGTCAAGGTTGTACAGTCTGGTATATGTGTATCTATATATTGAACATCTTAAAAACTGTTTTCGAAATTTTTATAATTTTTCACATACGAAGAACAGACCTCTGTGATGCAAACCTCAGGTTTGAAAAAATTTAGCCTATACAAAAACGCCTGACAGCAGTATTCGATGTCCTAGTATAGAAGCTACATTTCAATCTACATAAACCAACAATTTCTGTAACTTTTACATTGTTAAAATTTCGGTTGTCTAGAGGGACCTGTGTGAACTAACTGAATTCTCACAATTTAGGAAAATATTATGCAAAAAAAAAAAGGTGACCGGATCAATTAATTCTATGATATGACATGCAAAGGTCTACTAATG